TATATATATATATCGTTGTTCTCACTTCTCTGGTACGTATGGCATAGTAGAAAGAAGGCGATAATATTAGATCAACTGGAAAAATCTGTCCAACATGCCATGTTATAGAAAGCATCATTATAGATGTGTATTGTTTTCAATTCATTTATAACCGCCCTGTGATAAGTAATTTTAAGTCTTTCTCTTTTTTCTATTGTCCTGAGAGTTCCAATTTAAAACTTGTCTTTTTGTTTTTCTTTTCTTAGAATTTATGCATTACATTTCATGGAGCCATTTGATATGTACTTCTTAAACTATTGTTATAAATACTTAAAGCTATTTCTCGTTATTTTTATTGCAGTAACTTCTCTCATATCCATAAAGAAGGTCATATTTACCTCTAGCATTGAATATTCTAATTTCTTGGCGATTTCTAGCGGTTCTTCTATACAAATAAATATTTCTGAACAATTTAAAAATCTTCAATAAAATTCTTCTATACAATTTCAAGTAATATTATCTCCACATGTGCTACCAGGTAATGTTCATTGAATTTGACAAAGCGAATCTAAAATAATTAAATATTTAAATACGCTCAATAAACTATTTTTTGATAGCATAGTGCTATAAGCTAGCGATTATCACTGATGTTATCTTTAAAATATGTGAAAAATTGAATCGTTAAATTTAAGATAATGGCTAACGATTAACCAATCAGAAAATTCCATTTCGTGTTTCGCTCATCCCGCTAGAACGAATTGTCGTAGAATGTTTGAATCTCGACAGTGACCTTCCTTGTGCTTTGAACTATCTGTATGCCAAGTTTCATAGCTTTCGGTCGGATGGTTTAGGAGTCTATAACGAACACACACATTTATGCTTGTTATTATATAGACATTCATTTATGTATAAATAGATTATGCTTGCAGCTATCAGAATATTTCATTTTCTCTAAGTAAAAATATTTAGATCCGAAAGGGTGGATAAGAAATTTTAATTCGACAGTGGAATATAATATTAAGAAATTTTCAGCTTCTTTACAAGAAAATCAACGCCAGTGTTTAATTTTTTCCAAGTGCATTAGTCTTAAAAATCAAAGTCCCGCAGTGGATAGATCGTAGCATGGTTCCCAGTAGAACACCGAAGTCAAACATCAATGACTGTGATCAGTAAGCGAGTGATCACTTTGATCAGTCGACGTAATGACCGAGGGTGCACGGTATCGGTCTTCGTTAAACTGTTCTACCGTAAAGTGCTCGACTTCTCTCGCAGGTTGTTAGGCTACCAAAGTGGAGGGGCCATCCCCTCTGCAGAGGATCAAAATTGTGATGGCATGTCTTCGGATCACCCTCTGGGATGTTTTCCTGACCATCGCCAAGCACATTGTACAGCTCTAGTGCGATGTAAATAAAATAGCTACCTTAAAAATCAAAAATGATTTCAGATAATAAGCTAAATGAATTTCTTTCTATGTACCTACCTCAGTACCAAAAATATTTTAACCCTTTAATGGGCCATTTATTTCTAGTAAAGGTAAATTAAAGTATTTTTGGAATTAAAATTGATATAAGAATAGTAATTGATATTAGAAAAAAAGAAATCATTTAGCTTATAAAAAATTAATCTAAATTTTAATGCCATTTTTTTTTTTTTGGTGGTAAGTATATGCCGCGACCTATTGGGAACTTATTGACTTTTATTTTCGTTATTGATAATATGAATTTTATAACTGCTACAGACTTCAAAAGGAATTATGTATTTTAAAGCTTTTATAAGTTTTCTTAAACTGTCAAATGATTACCAATTTTATTCAAACGCACTTCAAGAAAGTTGAAGTTATTAACAAATGGAAACCTACATTAAAAGTGGTAAAAAAGTTCTTAATGGACTTAAAAATTTGGTGGCAAGTATACTTACCACGGCCGTAGAAAGGGTTAACATACCAATACGAGAATATACTGCCTTACAAAGGGTTAACTTAAGCAATAATAATAAATTAACCTATTAGAAATCACATGAAATTCAATCACATGACTTTTCATAAAGCACTAATGTTTCAAACTCTAAAAAATATTAAATAGAACACTAATTTAAAAAGATATGGTTAGGGAGGAAAAAAAGAATGAGCTTTTTCACCTATATTCATTCTATAATACACCAAGGGGGGATATGGGATTTAAAAAATATTTTCAATAGTTGCTGTTCAAGTTCTCTTTCGTGCACCACGTGACGTCGCTCCTATAAGCCCCGAAGACTATGTGTTTAACCTACATCGAACATACTCGTTGTTTCGTTTTCATTTTCTAAAGTGAAGTGATATTTGGAGGGGAAAAAAAGAATTGTGGAATAAAAAAAATAGAGAAGGGGAAAAAATCGCGACCTGGTTTCCATTTGCGGAACAGAATATTTCGCGGCATGGAATTCGACATTGAGATCACGTCTAAAATTGCGTGAAGATTGTTGAAGATTAGGTCGATTCGGTTTTCTTCTATCGCTTGTTGACAAGAACAAAAGGAGGTAGAATTATCTTGTCGACTAAGTCGAAAGTTATGGCAGTTTAAGATTAGATGAATAAATTGCTTATCTCTCGATTTAATAATATATCGAAAGATCGTGTTCTTTATTTGCTAACAGAGCTGGTAAAAATGACGCTTAAGGAATACCAAATTTCCATTGCAGGCTATTTTAAAACAAAAAATGTTATGTAAATGAACAACGACATGGTTGTGAATCGTGACGATAACATGCAGTTTATAGGAAAACGTTTGAAAATTAAGGTAAAAAAAAAAAAAAAACAGCCAACAAGGTGTGCAATAATTTATACGAAGCATTAAATTAAGAATATTTTAATTAATATTTGCTTTCTACATTAAATTTACTCACTTTTAAAGTTAAAGCGATTGACAAAACAATTATTATTAAAAAAGTGACATAATAGATCTAAATACCAAACATAATAATTTTCAACCTTTGCATGCACCGGAAATTATTTTATTAAGAAATCCCCTTATTCAGCTGTTTAAATAAACCCGATGACATATTTCAAGTTTAAGTTTTTCAAATATTGTTACAAGCAGATAATATGCAATAAATTATTTAGTAACACTCAGAAATATATGTAAGGAAATATGTAAGTTAAATCTAGACTAATAATATCATGTTCTTGTTAAAAAGTAATTAATTTGACTCATTTTGAACATTAAAATTTAACTAAGTACATTAAGTTTTTAAATTTTATTTTATTATTTTTGAATTTTTAATAAATGCCTTTTATAATTTTTAGCGTTCAATGATTATTTATACAAGAATTGATCAAGATAATGGAAATACATATTCATACCGGATTTTCTGGAAGATTTATCTTATTTTATTATCTTATCTAATTGTGTTTTAAATGGTGGATAAAATTAAATCAAATATTTCTCTTTATTATAACTTTAATTCAGTACTACTAGGAAAAGAACTTTTTGGTAGAGCGTAGAAGATGGCAGATATGCTATACTAACCTTGGATATACAGTGCGTCCCCCGCCTCCAAAAGAAACGGACCACCCTGAATAACTTTTGATTTAATGATCGGATCATCACGCTCTAGATCTCAATCTTAATAGTTCCTGAGGGTAACTTCAAATATGTAAATTAATTAGTGCACTTTTAAGTTAATTAGTGATGTTTTAAGTTACGACATACACAAAAACGTACTTTCTCTGAATAAATATACCTTTTTATTATTTTCATTTGGATTTCTAATCTCCAAAATACAAAGGGTAGCCTCAATCTTGGAAATATGTTCCCCATAGTTTGGTCAGGAGAGCGATCCAAAGCTTGGACTTCTTAATGTCGACTTTAATTTTTGCGTATTTCGCCATATTTCAAATACTCTTTAAGCGAATTGAAAAATTTGTACACACAATTATGAAATACGTTAATTTAAAGATGATTCCTCGCAAAAAATAAATTTTAGTGAATGTTTAATATTTTTTTATTGTTTTATTTAATAGTGGAAATTTTTTTAAAATTAAGGTGAGCAATTTTTTGCATCATTTTAAAGTGTGTAAATTTATATAGCAATATACAAAATTTGAGCGAAATCGGTCGAATAGTTCCCTAGAAATTAAATTATAAAGAAGTTGTATATTTATTTAATAAAAATAATTTATTTAATGAAAGTAATTTATTTAATAAACAAATGAAATATTGTTTTGTATTATGTAGGTGTTTTATACAGCAATTAAAAGGAGTATTATCAAACAAACATTGAAAATTACAGGCGTAGCATGAAAAGTAATTTACATCTGATCAATCTATCTAACAAATAAAATGCATTAAATTTTTTCTCACGCCTTTTATGTGTCATTAGAATACTTTCTTAACCTAAATATTCATCTAAAAATATAATACTATCACTCAAGCTGTTAACACAGAGGTAATTTTAAAAGCAAACAAATGATTAAAAAAAATAAAATGCAAATACCACTTTCTTCAAGTGCTATACAAAGATTGCTTTTGTTCATCGTTTTATGAAGAGGAAAAAGATGCGTCAATGTGATTGTTCTTCATTTTTTTCAGATGCAGTTCGAAAAAGAAAGTAAAGATTGAAGTGTAGGAAGAGTGGGAGGTCAATTATTTGACCTAAAAGATGGAAATATTCAATCAAGTGCGGCTGCTGTTAAGGCGAAATGTTGCTTTACGTCTCAGGCAACCGGTGAGTTGTTGTTGCGCTGTACATCTTTGTTTCACTTGTATGAACCTTTAAAATTTAATAGGTAGTCCAATAAACGCCTTTTTTCAAATCGCTATTTAGATTTCTGAAGAATCTTTAAAAGCGAATGAGAATGTCATTTTATAACCTTTTTAAACCCAGCCTGCACGATCGTGCAAGTTATTTATAAACTCAACATGTGCATTGTGGCCAGAGCCGGATTATACCCTCCGTAGGCCCTAGGCATAGCCGTTTTTGTGCCCTCCCCTCCTTCCCCAACTCCTCCCCTCTTTTCAAAATATATGCTAAAATTTTCTTGCATATTTTTTTTTTATACATTTTTATTAATATGGATTTTTATTTACGAATTTGTTTATTGAACTTTATCTGTAATACCGACATACTGCCGATATTGCAGTTGATATCGATAATACCATTATGATTAGTTCGATCGATAACTATGTAAACACTTCACGTCAACAATACAACAACAAACCAGCAAAGAAAACAGTGAAATTGATAGTGAGATTAATTACAAGAAATATTTATACAGTAGAGAACCAATTATCTGGGATGCTCGGGACCATCGCTATCCCGGATGTCTGAATTTCCCAGTTTTCTGGATCGACCAAAAAGTGTCATTAATCGATGTTTTATCGAACCCGAATTACAAGGAAATTACACAAAAATTTGTCAGAATCTGAGATTAAACTAAAAGCGCAAAATTTGGTGAAAATTTACTCATCCGATTTAGAGAAAAACTTTGTAGATGAATTTTTACTATTTTCAAATTTATATGAACATAAATCTGCACAAGAAATGTTGAAGGCTCAAATTAAAGATAAACTTGTGAATACTTTTCCTAACGTTCACATTGCATTAAGAATATATTTGTCGATTCTTGGATCAAATGCAGAAGGAGAAAGATCTTTCTCCAGATTAAAATTGATAAAAAATTATTTGCGTTCAACAATGAATCAAGATCGTTTGGCATCGCTCGCACTTATGTCTATTGAATACGACATTTTGCGTAGTTTGGAATTCGACAGCATAATACAAGATTTCGTTGAATCCAAAAATCGCAAAAAAGTAATATATTAGATCATAAGATTCTGCAAAATAATTTATTACCGAAAAATATTATATTTTTATTTGTATCTTCATAATTTTGTGCAAAATACACTTGTTGTTTTTAAAGCTAAATTATTTTTGTCAACAAATTTTTTTCTCCCAAGTTTTTCGTAGTCCCTAGGCACGTGGCTAGTGTGCCTATAGGTTAATCCGGCCCTGATTGTGGCAATATATTCATTATAAAACAAGTTTCAATTGAGTAAAAATTTTCTTTTCTCATAGCTACCGTTTTAGTATGCATTACAAATGCATTAAATATTAATGTATGCATTAATGTATTAAAATATGTATTAACAATGAATTACAGACATACATTAAAAAACCAAGATTTTCCAAACACCTCTTGATCTGAAAAGAGGAATAAAAAAAGGTCAATTTATTGTTTTTAAAGCAAGATACACCTAAGTTGATCATACATCTTTCCTTAAGCTAGCCGGGCCTGATATAGAACACTGCACATTACTTAATCAGGGAATTACAAAAAAAGAGCTTACAAAAAATAACAACAATTAAACAAAGGTTTTCTAATAATCAAGGAATAAAACAAATTTCAATTTGCTTCATTCCTTGTCAACTCATTCATTTCAATTTGTTTGTATTTAAAGATAAAGAATAAATATTAACCCATGATAATTTTTTTTTTCATTTTCAAAACTTTTCCTTCTCTGAATTAGCCTGAAGTGACAGTTAAAAGTGTTAAGGAATAATGATATTTTATTAATATTGTAAAACATCAATAGCTGTTATTTGAATAAACAATAACCTAAGTTATTTTTCAGATAATTTTGGCTTTGGAATTACTATGGCCCGTGGCTATTTTTCTTGTTGTGATGTCTACACGGATTGCAATTCCACCAGTGGCTCAACAAACATGTAAGACATCTTTTTGTTAGTTTTTCTAAGTAAGATATAAAAATTTTAACATTCAGAGTGGCTAATTCTTTACAGTTGACAGTCATGAGGGGACTTAGGCAGGACACACACTGAGGAAGCCAACGGTAAGAATTAGGCACACAGCTAACGAATTCCTATAGTTTTGCATCAAGATGCGCAGAGGCGATTTGCGCAAGCTAATGTAAAAGTATGGGAATCTGCCTCTCCTGTGCCTCTTACTTACCGATTGCTCCCTCAGCGAGTAACCTGCCTATTAGAGTCACCTATCTGCAGCAAAGGGTTATATTGCTGTATCATATAAGCTTATCGTTGCTATGGTAAAAGGTTATGGTTGTTTTTATAGATGACTTCAATGGCAAGTTAGAATCGTATTATTTGTATCATCTACTTCATCTTACTTATTTACTCATTTGTATTATTTACTATTATCACGGGATTTGTACTTTTAATGAATTTCTCTTAACAGGTCATTACAAGGCTTGGGCTCTACCGTCAGCTGGAGTTGTATCATTCGTACAGTCAATGATCTGTAACATTGACGAGTGCCAAAATAAATCTGAATACGAAAGCATTCCTACATACAAGGGATCAAGGTGAGCATTCCTACATACAAGGATCATTTTGAACAAGCAAAATATCTGTTGTCATTGAAAACATTGAAATAAGAGGTCACCAAATGGACAATTTTTTTTTTAAAATTTGCTTTTTATACAATACACTATTAATACACACTGTTTTATTAATATTCATATCTATATTTGATTTTAAAATATCGCAAATGTCATAATTTGAAAACAATTCTTAGCTTAATGAATGAGATGTTTTTTAGTCGCATGCCTGCCAACTTTTTCCCATACATCAGAACATTTTTATTTATGTATGTAGAGTAGTAAATTTTATGATTTAACATTTTATTATTGATTTAATATGCACCCACACCCACTTACACACACCGAGTAAATATATATATATATNATATTCACAGAGTGTCGCACGATAGTTGGTTGGTTGGAGCAAACTTTAAGGGGAGGAGGTAGTGTAAATCACAGGAATTTAGAATTGCAAGATTGAGATCTTCTGATATATTTATTGGTCAAAGACTGTATACATAAATATCTATAAATATAGATATCACATATTCAGACAAAATTAATATTATCATTCCTTGTTTCGTGATTTTAAAACCTTATCTAAATTTTAATTATTTTTGCAATTCAGTGTTTCGTAATTTTTATTTGATACTGTTTCATAATAAAATTATTCATTATAATATTTCGAAAAACGGCTAAGAACTATTTTCGTGTTTTGTAATATTATTTTCCTCTTCTTCCATTTAGTGTACAAGAGCTGGTGGCGAATACCCTGCCGCTGATAATGGATGAGAGCATAACGGAATTGGTACAAGCACTGCCAAAAGGAATGCGGCTCATGAGAGTGGCTGTTGACGCTTTATCAGGACCAGATTTATCTGCTCTTCTCGGTATGTGATCTTTATAATTAATCCTCTATAAGTGCAATATTTTGGCCTGCCAAAGACCCGAAATCGATCTCTTTGACCAGAAGCCAAAAAGTTCGGTAAAGTTATCGATGTTCAAACGAAATATAAATCTTTGGCAAAATATGTGGGATGATGATCAAAACCAGGGCAGGCATACCCGCCATCTAATCCCGAAGGTAAATTACCGTAAAATTTATGGAAATTTCTACTTGAACCAATCTATCACAACCCACGGCACCCAGGGAACATACCAATCCAAGTTTCACAATAAATCTCCCCTATGCAATAACTGCAAAGTTACAGATGACCTGGAACATATACTGATTCACTGCCCTCTATTTGATAACATAAGAAAAGCAAATTTCCCGGTAAACCTGACCTATAACTCCCTCAAACAACACTGAAGGATACCAGCTATGCAAAAGGGCATAGAACGAATCATCCAAAGCCACTTTAGCGCTGGCCTGCCACCAGACACATAAAAAAAAAATAACGAAAATGTTAAAACTGTTTTTTCTCAGAACATTGACATCACGCACTGAAATTCTAAGACTTATCCAAACCCCATCAAACTTTTCGATTTGTTGTAAAGGTGGAAAGGTCCCTTTCCACCTACCCTGAGTTTTATAATTAAAATATAGGACACTTTGTGTATGGAATTAACATTTCACCTGTACTTACTTTCACATTTAAACTTGTTTTGATACATGGACTGGGTCAGCTTTCCATCTGTTAAAATTAACGATTTTGTACACCGAGTTAACTTCATCTGTTCAAATATCTGCTTTTTACATATCTTGCATTTTTACATTTTTCGTTACTTTGTTGATGGAGTCATCTTTTCATCTGTTTTGCTATCTATATTTTGAATTCAAGTCACCCTTTCTATTCCTCATTGTAAATACTCATCTTCCCTTTGTTTTTCAAACTGGGAATTGTTTTTGTATTTTTAGTGGATCAATAAAAGTGCTCCCCGGATGCCCCCGATAGGGGGCGGGACGGGGTTAGGCGTGTCTGATAAGTGCAATATTTCTTAGATTGAGTTTGATTTGTAAAAAAGAATCATTGAGCTTATTACCTAACATTAATATGATTTTTAGGACGATTTTTTTCGTGTGAACGTGATTTTCAGAATTTTGCCTAGCATGGAGAATTGGCCATACACTTTTTGTTTTACATCTTTTAACAAGCACTGAACAGCCGACCCAATTTTGAGCTTACAACAGTCAATGTTCAACTACGTAGCTTTGTAATTTTGGATCCAATCCAGAAGACAAGAGATTTTCTGGATCGTACCTTAAGACAAACTAGCTTTCTTGGAGGACTTTTTAATGGAATTAAGGTTGGAAAAAAAATCATGAAAACCTCTCATGTTTAGCCTGACGGCAAGGGGATTCATGATCCATTGAGGATATTTTACGTTAGCACTGCGATCGGTGTAAGCCGGATGCACAATTCGTATTAACCAGTTCCGCTGGGATTCGGACCTAGGTAAATTCATTGAGAGGCAAATACTGTTAATTGGAAGATAACCAAATAAATCAGGTGATAAAATCACCTGATTTATTTGGCTGTTTATTTGCACCTGATTTATTTGCATCGGCAGTTAAAAATTTATGATGCTTAGGAGAAGTATAGTTCTTTATTGTTTAGGAGTTTCACTTTTTAACGGGTATGTATTTTCAGATTTGCATACGTAATTAATTTATTAATTATAACGCATTTAATATTTAACATACATTTAATATTTAACATATTTTTAATATTTATTAGAGTTCAATAATTTTTTTAAAACTGAATTCTATTTATAACACTGTGAAACAAATTATATTCTTGTTTTCTCAGAAGTGAGATTTTTAAACGGATCTTAGATGCTTCCGTGTAGCTGATTTTAAATCTGCAATCTGTTTCCCTTCCCAAGCTTTAGTTTTTATTTTATTTAAAAAAAGGCGTTTTTAGTTTATTTTTTGTAGAAATGTATCAATTTAAAATTTATGTATATGTATAATAATTGTCGCACTAATGTTGCGACAAGCTTCTAGGCGAATTAGGGCATAATATCAGGAATAAAATTGCATAGGAACCCATGCCCAGAGATGTCGTCATACGCAGCTAGGGGTGCTTCCCTAATTATGAACTGTTTCTTCGCTCACTTCTGAAGAGGCAATAATAGGAAAGCGCCTCTAGCCTTACGACGACATTTCCGTGCATGTGTTCCTATGCAATTTCAATCCGGATGATGTGTCTTAACTTCCCTAGAATAGAGCCCCTGAATTAGACAGGCCGACTTAACATTTATTGTTGGAGCAAAGAGCTAACATAAGCACAGCGAATAAATATTTTCAAGTGGTAGTTTATTAATTGTCTTTCTTGGTTTCATAAGTTCGATTTAGTTAATTTTAATCCACCACCATTTCTAAACAATGCGTAGGCTTATATAATTCACCACTTTATAGTACTTATTAACCCAAGCTGCCCTGAGAGTTATCGCCCAATCAGTCTACTTAACATACTTGGAAAAATATACGAAAAAATCATCTACAATAGAATAAAACCACTTCTTACAGCCCTCCCCGACGAACAGTATGGATTCCGACAAAAACTAGATACCACCAAACAGTTACTCCGAATAATAGACTATACTGGCAGAGCAATCATAAATAAAGAAACAATAGCCTTCCTGATGATCGACATATCCAAAGCATTTGATAAAGTATGGCACACTGGTACAATATATAAACTCATACAGCTGAATTTTCCACCCGGCATAATCAAACTCCTATCCTGCTATCTTTCTAATAGAACATTTCAAATCACCATCAAAAACAAAAAATCCACAAAGAGAAACATCACAGCCGGAGTACCACAGGGCAGCATTCTGGGACCGATATTATACATATTATACACTTATGATTTTCCTATAAACAAAGCCGATTATAACAGCATAACAGCCTATTACGCAGACGATACCGGTATTATTATTAAATCCAGAAACCCAAATCATGCTCTTCAAAAACTACAAGACCATATAGACGAAATAGAAGACTGGTGCTTAAAATGGAAAACTGCAGTAAATGCTGGAAAATCACAAATATTAATTATACAAAAAAGAAGAATTAAAATACTTCCACAACTTCAACCAAAAATGTTCAACATACCAATACCAATAGTTAAAAAAGCAAATTATCTTGGCCTTATAATCAATAGCAAACTCACCTGGAATGATCACATCAAAAGCACAATAGATAAAGCAAATGCAGCAATAATAGCCATACAACCATTAATATATAATCAGAATATGTCACTTAAACTAAAGAAGCTACTATATACAGCAATGATCCGCCCAATACTTACCTATGCCTCACCTGCCTGGACAACGATACCTCAACATCTACTGAAGAAATTAAACCAATGCCAAAACAAGATCCTTAGAAAAATAACCTGTGCAAGATGGTTCATCCGGAATACCAATATACATGCAGACCTCAAAATACCAACTCTATCACAGCATATATACAAGCTAAACGCAGATTTTTTCGATAAAGCCATAGAATGTAAAACAGCAAATTTTAATGAAATCTTTAAATTTGAAAATTATATCAAAGATAAAAACTACAGACCAATAGCTGCACATTTCACCTCCGACGCCTCATATCATAACTATCAAAACAAATAATTTCATCAACCTTTCTGAAAATAACGTTTACTCATGCTGATACAATTCTGAACAACTCCAAAATCAAACAAACACAGTTTAGAGCAAGCTGCTCAATTTATTTTTGATTCCTTTTTAGTTATTCAAGCAAAGAGCTTGAAACATTCATAAAAGCAACTCCATTGCCTGCTTACCTCATTGCTCAACCAAAACTGTTCAAAAATTCCAGATGAATGGGATAGGGGCCGCTTCGCGGCCCAGGTGCCCAGTAAAATCTAAACACTAGGACTAGGACTAGTACTTATTACATGCTTTGCATTTTTGAAGGCAAGCAAATATTGTCAACTATTTGCAAAATTTACTTTGTAGTTATTTACCGTTTTTTAAATTATTTTGGCGTGTCCGCAGCAGTTGGCATCTCTGTAATAACATAACGAATATTAAAATAACGTTAACCTGCGAACTTGTTTGCTCCAATATTGCTTGATAGGTCAGCTCTGATAGTATAGGAGCCTTACCCTAGAAGTTTGTTGCTAGATTTACGCGATCCCTTGTTACGTATAACGTTTTTAAGCATGTACATTTCTAAAATAAAGGATTAAAAATATCATTTAAAAAAATCTGTAGTATTAGAAACAAAACTAATTTCAGATTTGAAATCCCCACATCCGAATGCGACAAGATCAAGCATTTGTGTAAATGCAACAAAATGTTCCCCGGTTTAATTCTCAAAATCTACGACAGTTTGAAACAGTTTTTTAAAACTCATTCTAATCACGTGACTTGTTAAATTCTTTGTTTTGTAAACAATATCGTAATATTCCCCGATTATTCATGTCATATTCTTGTTTTTTGGGCGTATATCGATAAAGAGAAAGATAGACTCAGATGACACTTTCCCTTTTTCATGAATATTCAACAGTTTAGGTAGATGATGATAATTTACTGTTGGTTGTCTAGATTCCGCATAAAGATGATTCTTACGAGAATATCAATAGCTGTTATTTTAGCCCTTAACAATAGAAATCCCTTTAATGGTTAAAGTAACAAAAGAATGATGATTTCGTACTATTAATTTGCAATTTATAATCAAAATAGTATCTCTATCAAAATGAAAAAAATTTAAAAAACTGTGAAAAATATGTAAACTCACCAAATATGCACTAGATTCTTGAATGTTTGAACAATTACACGGTAATGTAAGCTATGGTCTATGTTCAATGATTTTTATTCAAGTTATGATGTGGTTCAAGTTATATTCAATGAAGGTGCACTTGCCAACGTGTCTGAATGAACTGTGCGCTGAACATTACAAAGTATAGGCTATGAGAGCCGACGACCTGTTCGAAAGCCTCTGCTGTCAGCATTGAACAAGACCAGACGTCTCCAGTTTGCAAAGGAGCATAAGGATTTGAAAGTAGATGATTGGAGAAGGGTCATGTGGTCTGATGAATCGTGTTTTCATTTACACTATGCAGATGGTGGCAGGGTTCCGATACGGCAAAAACAGCGCAAAAGCGTGTACCCTAACTGCATTACCACAATACTTCAAGCTGGTACAGGTAATTTTATGGTTCGGGGGACGTTTTCTTAATTGCATGGGTACTTTGATTCCTGTGGAACAACTTCTAAATGCCTAAAGGTATTCAAGTGTTATCGCAGATCAAGTACATCCTGTTATGATAATGGTGTACCCTGCCGGGGAAGGATACTTTCAGCAAAAGACAATGTTCCTTGTCATACAGCTCGTATTGTCGTCAGATGGCTCTCCAATCCGTTCCCTTACAGGTATTGATTTATTTTGGGAATTTAGATAACTTTTTGACCCCAACAGATTTAACATGCATCAGACACAATTTAATAAATGGGAGTTATTCGACCGGTTTGGATCAAACTAAAGCTCTCATGAACACGAGTCTAACGTCCTAACAAACCGGCCTCTATTTTTCTGATATCCCTCTCGAGCATACTGGTTAAAATGTTTGACCGATTCTTAAGAACTTTCCCTCTTACCCGTTGTCCAAAAAGGAAAAATAAAGGCTGGTAGTAAAACCATTTCAGTTTTTGGGAGGAGTATATATATCCTTTTTTCCATACTCAGGATTGGTAACTTTCAACGCTTTTTGGGAAAATTTCTTCTAGTGGGAGTTATGTATACATTTATGTATGATACTTTATCTTACTAACTAAAAAAGAAAATTATTTTCCACGCCAGTATGATTTAAAAGTTTATAATTATAAAAAAGTATTAGTATATACAGAAATTTTATTTTTCTAAAAAAAAAAAAAAAAAAAAAAAAAAAAAAAGTGCTGGAATTAAATGTTTTTCGTACCTAATTTTGCTGTTTTTCGTCTTGATATATAAAGGCTTTCAGCGCTGAACCAAAATGAAGACGAATCAGTGAAAGGAAAAAATAATTAGCTAAACTATTTCGTTATCAACTTACGTGTACGGTAATAATGGCCGAGATAGTCTGGTTGGTAGGACGTTGGATTCAAGATAATGAGATTGTGAGTTCGAATCCCCCCGGCTAAAGAATCCTCATGTATTAAATGTTGACTGATTCTCTTGATTTCAATCGGGCTTGCTGGTATTAGCAAAAGGCATAAGTAACAACAACACAATAAAGGTGTAAGTAATTGTATTCACGACCATTGATTTTAAAATGAAATTTTGAATATATACTTAGAAGTTACACAGTTTGTAATATATTAAAATGTTGTGAAACGAAATTTTTTTTTTAAAACGTTTGTCATACTTCTATTAACACTATTACTTTTTTTCCCTCCTGGTTATTAACACCGGGAAATTTCAGGACCGTAACACAAATCATTATTAAACAAAAATATCCATTGTAACCTCTCAACAGTGAGTATTTATTCATTTCAGAGATGTTATAACACTCATTACATATTATTTCTTGACATTTAAAGAAAACAGTTATGACTAGTTTCCGTGTGTAATATTAGCCCAATAGTGGCTCGACGTGATAGTATTTCTATGAAAATTCGCTGACATACTGTCTGACAATCACAAGAGAAGATCTCACTGAGAACAGGCTCCAGTGAGAACAAGAGCTCATCTCGTGACTGCAAAATAGTATGGGTTATAACAAATTTATACAACTGCAGTTAATTTTAAAGTTAATATTGAAATATGGTCTTTTGACACATAAGGAAAGCAGTTATGCGTAGTTTTCATGTGTAATAATATCCTGAAAGTATTGCGTCGTGATAGCATTACTATGCTAAGTTGCTGCTGTCAATGAGAAATTTAACAAATTAATCTAAAATTAATCCAACAAATTAAAACATATTAATCTAACTGTTGTTAATTTTATAGTTAATATTGAAAAAATGGTCTTTATTTTGTTATAGACGATGGATTTCCTGTTCGGAATCTTCTTAAAGATTCTAATCAAACAAGAGAAATTCTACAAAAAATAAATCTAACAGATGAAGAAATAGAAAATATTTTAAATTCGTCAATACAACTTCCACAAGTAAGTTCACATTTAAATATTTTTGATAACTTATTCATCGTGCTATTTTAATTTGCTTCTTTAAATGTATTGAAATTCGGATTCAGTTTCCCAAAGCAGACTTGCCAATTTATTCAGGTAGAAGCCGCACATTTTCCCTAGATTTTAAAGTGAAGGGAAATTTTGCTTTAGTATTTGATTTAAAATACTCAAAGTTAGATGTATAAACACTGATAGCCAAATAGAGATCGCTTATCAAGTTGAATACCACGCTAATTTTATATGACCTGCCCGTCTGACCAAACGGTAAATAACTACAAACTAAATTTGTAAATATTAGACAGATTTTGTTAGTTTTTTAATAGGTTTAACAAGACTTAACTGAAAACAATGGGGAATTGTATAAGCCTGAGAATTGTTTAGAAATAGTAGTGGATAAAAATCTACTAAATTGAATTTATTAACCAAGGCATCACAATTCATAAACTACCACTTGAAAATATTTATTCGCTGTCCGGAGCAAGTTGGGATCTCTATGTATATAAATAAAACTATTTTTGTGTGTTCTATATTGCATTAATTTCTTCAAACCGTTTTAGAAATGATAATAATATGAAAAAAGTAAAAATTTACTGCGAATTACGTGTTTCTAATAATCTTGGCTTCACCGGTCACCGGTGACCCCCGTGGTGCTACGAACAAATTCAGTGCCGATCACCGGTGACCTCATTGGCATTCAACGTGTTAATGTTCTTGTGAAGCTTTATAAATGTTTGCTTATTTAATTGTTACATCACTGCAAACTTTAAGTATTGAGGAAAGCTAGTGATTTCAGTATGGCAAGTCTGCAAAAGCTATTTAGCTCTGATTTTCATTTGAATCATTTACGAAAAACATTATTTGACTATATTTTTTTACAAAAATATATAAATAAATAATTATGTTAAATTAATATATACTTATCACTATTATATAACCTTTTAATAATAAATAAAACATGAAACCGAACAAACAGAGTTTTTGTTCCCATCTACTTCGCTTTTTGAAAAATACTTTATAGAATGGGATGCAATCAGAAACTTAAGCTTTCAGATTTTTAAGTAATTTTTCCTACAATTTAATTGTTTTATCGACACTATTCCATTTTTGGTCTCGTTTCAAAATGTTAATGACTGGTGACTCAAATCATTTCTTCAGTTGCAATTGGAAAAGCTGAATATTCCTATCAAAAATATATTAATAACACAAAATTATACATCATGTGACATATACCTCGCTTTAAAGTAAAATAATTGCAATATTTTTTTTTTTAAATCGGTCGAGAATTGAGCAAATTTCATGCAAACCTGCTACCACATTTTTCATTTGGACATATTTCCATTTACGGCGGAACTCCTGAGGGTCCACCGAAAATATTAAAGTTGCAGTTAAGAGGTATAAAAAGAAAATGGATTTTTACCTTATTTAGCATCCACAATTTTAAACCGATTTATTTCACAAACCGTAGAAAGTTATCCACCCTGTTCCATGGTTAATATAACTTAGCTCCTGAGCATCAGCCGAAAGTATTAAAATTGTAGTTAAGGGTTATAAAGGAAAATGGAATTTTACCTGGTTTAGCTACCACTTAAAATTCAATAATTTTAAACCAATTTATAATCAAGATCAGGAACATTTTATAATAACTTTTTAAAAACAAAAAAAGCATTTTGTGATAAAAATTTAGCTTCCACAGGAATTAATTAAGTGATCACATAGACCAAGATATAATATAACAATTAAAACTAATAACACCAGATAAACAATTTGCAAATTATAATATTGGGACTACTTTTAAATTTTTTAAGCTCCGTGCAAATTTTGTATAATGATTTAAACTAAATATTGTTAAAAAATGCTATTAACCGTTTTCCCGCCAGTTTCGTAATTTTACAGTGATGGGAAAAGTGACTTTACGAAGAATGTAGTAGCAGGTTAGCATATAAACTGTAAAGATATTTTATTCAATTAACAGGGATGTCGGCTGTTTCGCTTTCTTGAAAAGTTTTAATAAATTGGTCACAAATTAAATAGTAACTATTAACCCTTTCGCGCCGACTGTCACAAATACGTGCCAGCATAAAACCGTATCAACCAGGTTAAAAAGATAAAACTGATAATTAAAGTAATTCTTTAGCAGTTTATTTGTAGGCGAAATTATAATTGTTTGATTTATTTAATTCACCGTTACTTTGTTTAAAATAAAACTATTTAGTTATACTTTGAATTAACATTGATTATATATATATGATTAAACTAACAATAATTAAAGTAAAAGCAAAGTAAGTCTGTCAAATCAGAAACGACTACATTTAAGTTACCGTTTTTTATTTAATTACATACTGACTTGGTACGAATGCTTTTCTGAATCACCCGTCCCCAAGGGTTTAAAAGTGCAGATCTGCCAACTACTACTCTTTTATGGAGTGGTAGATATTTAAAAACCAAAGCATTCAGAAATTTTGCCAATATTTAATAGCCTCACTACGAAAGAGCTAAGGCAAAGTGGTGTTGCATACGAATTTTTAAATCATTTATATATAGTGGTGTGGAAAATAAATTTTAATGAATTCAAATAATACAATAAAACCTTAATTTAGCTACCACTAGAATAAATTTTCACAAAGAGCGTAGAAAGTTGGCAGCCCTGAAAGTGTCACCACGAGATAATTGCAATGAAATTGCACTTTATATTGTACTTTGAATTTTTGACAGGTAGCAGTAGAAAAATTAATTAAAATTAAAAATACTAAATCAAGTATAGCTTGCATTTCGTTGTCACTGGAAAATATTATAAATCACAAGATATGCAATTATATGTTATTGATATATTCTGATTGAGAAGAAATATTTAGTTTCTTTAATTGTAGGTGCTGAAAATGAAATATTTGAGCTACCAGTCTGTAACATTTTAAAAAACAGGAACGCGTTCCAAAACTTGCGCTTAAACGATAAAGTTGGACACTGACCGTCTATGCCCACCTGATCACTTTCTGTTTTCAGTGGTTATCATTTTAAGTTAAACTAAAGTGACGTGCCGTAGCCATTGTAAGGAGAAATGGCCAGAGGGTATTAAGTTGAAAGCGTGGGAGGTCTGCACTTAATAAAAACAATGCTTAAAGGAAGATAAGTAGACTAAACGAACCACTTTCCCCATCAAATTCGACACTTCAGACGAAGGTCGAGGTCATTGATCGACTGTAGAAATCTTTTTCTTCGATATCAAGACACAAATAGAATGAAAAATTAAGAAGGTTACCGAGTCTTTAAAAGAGTTTAAAACACGATAGATATTGTTAAAAGTGAGTTACTCACGATATTAAACAATGTATTTTTTTACGATAAAAAAAAAAGAAAAAAGAAACGTTTGGGACGTAGAATTCAAAATCACGTTATAAAACCAATATTAAAATTTAGTAAATCAATATTAAATAATGCATTATTTTCTTATGAATAATTTAATTTTAAAATAATATAATGACAGTGGGAAAATATTTTTTTTTAACAATGAACTACACACTCTTGCATCTGTGATTTCAAATCTGCAATTGATCTCTCTCCAAGCTAAAAAATCATTTTAAATGATATTTTTAGTCTTTTTTTTTATATATATTTATTTGCTAAATGTACAAGTCTAAAAGCGTTATATATATATCAGGGGTCGCATAAAAATTACAAGAAACTTTTAAAGGAGTTAGGGCAAATCAGCAGGATTAAAACTAAATAGGAACTCACGCCCGGAAATGTCGTCATACGAAGCTGAGGGCGCTTGCTCTATTATAAACTGTTTTTTCGTATGCTTCTGAAGAGTTGTTGAAAAATCAGCAAACAGTCTGTAGCATCCGAAGCAAAACTATTATTAATTTTGAAATCTCCACACCCGAGGGTCTCCCTGGCCGAGCGGGTAACATAAAGCGGTAACTTAAATGCGGTCATGGCTTATTTGACAGACTTATTTTGCTGCCGCTTTAATCGCATCTCTCATCTATGTTAGTTCAAAGTGTTACCATATAATTTTTATTTAGAGTTGCGGTGAATTATATAAATAGAAATATTATTGCGCTGCCAACAAATAAGCTGCTACCTGTTCTGAACTGGATCATACAATAAAACATAAAATTTGCTACCACAAGTAAATGTTTTCCGCATAAAGTGTAGAAAGTAGGCAGCCATGCATTATCAACACTTTTGAAAAGAGTTCTATATGATAAAAACGACAATAAATTTTGATACAGTTCATAATTCAGTAGAATTGTATATTTATATTTATTATTGAAATTCAAAAAATAATTTTTTTTACATATTTGTAATTTTTAAAGTAACGGTAGAGGTAACGGTAAATAATATTTTCTTTTTAGATTCTAGAACTTTTAAACCAAAATAACTTCTGTGATACAAGCCAAGATTCCGAGTCTTATTCTACAGAACTCTTGACCAAACTTGTGAAGCGGTTATGTAATTTGGACAGCGCTGGTCGTAAGGAGTTTTTTGGTCAACTCAAGAATCAATTGGATGTCAAAAATATTGTTAAAACGGTAAGTTTTCAATTTTATTTTTAACTGAAATTATTCTTTTTATGTTAAGTCATACTTTTAAGTAGATAATTGAGGCTTGACAAATCGCCCTACTTGTTTGAAGGCCATAAAAGCCGGCAAATATTGCCAGTTTACGTACCAGGAATCTTTCATATGAACGTATACAAAAGGTTTTTAAGGGATGCATGTACCAAGTATAGGGCTGGTCAGGCATTGCCGATTCAAAGCCTCCTTAAAGTTCATGAACTCGATCTAATTTCAATGGACCATCTCTGGGATTCGAAACAACGATAATTTATAAGTGGTAAAGTAGACATTGATGCGTTTAACTTTTTCAGATTTGATATATATTTCGACTATGCATTTACTGTGCATTTGAAATTGAAATAAAGTGGTAGCTAGATTTTGGAAAATAAACACATTTTGAAATATTCATAAATATTTTCCTCCTTTTATTGTGGTGTGACAACTTCTAAAATGATTTTGGAAAACTAAATTAGAAGCTAACTTTGAAAGTTTTAAGCTGTCTTGACAAAAGTTTGTCATTATTTTTTCCAGGTTGTCAGGGTTCCCGCAATCCTTCAAAAGTTTCAGTAGAGGTAGAAAAATTTAGTTTAATGCTCGCAGATATTTCTTATTTTGATATACTAATTTATCTCTAAGTGGTTTAGAAGTTGGAATTTTCATGCATATTTACTTCCTTCAGAAAACAATTTTTAGTGTTGGTTAAAGAGAAACTAAAATATTGACATTTGTTTCATTTTCGTTATCGCTTTTTAAAACTTTCAAGGCTCGTGGGTAAACTGGTTGTGGACACCTTGTTGAGAGGTGCAATAATGTAAACCTTGGTTTTGAAGAGTGCTAATCAGTTCTTCTGAAGAATTCTTTCAGATTAGTTTAGCGATATCTTAATTAGATCAACTCAATTTAATTCAGACATAGACTTTCAGACAGGACTTTGTCTTAAATAATAATTCATTTAGGAAGAGTAGTCACACGACTGAAATAAGTATGTTTTTTTCAGATGGGTTTAGCAATGTCTGAATTAGGTCGACTCGACATTAGTAAAATCTTAGAAAATATCGGAGGCTTGTTGGTCAGTTTGCAATCATCTAATATTCTTCAAGAAGATGTTCTGAGTACGGTCACCAACCTTTTGGAAGAAATTCAATTCGACCAAATTGATACAGAAGTGTAAGTACTTGATTTTGTTTTAGTTTGCTCATTATTTTAACAATAAAAGAAAACAAAGAATATAATAAAAGAATGTGAAGCTGTCAAGTAAAATCAGATTTCTGACCCCCAAAATATAGAGGGTTGCCGCAATGTGGGAAATCTGGGCCCAAATTTTAACTTTTTGGGTATTTCGCCATATCTCGAGAATCTTTTGAGCGAGTGAAATTTTTGAGCACAATTATAAAATTTGTTCATTCTAAGATAATGCCGAACGTAAGATAACCTTCAATTAAAAATTATTATTTGATTACTTCATTTCATAATATTCGAAAAACGTTTGGAATTGTGAGACATACAATTTTTTACATCAATTTAAAGAATGTAGTTTTACATGGCAAAATAGAAAATTTGAGAGAAATCGGTCAAATAGTTCCTGAGAAATCGAATTTTAAAAAAGCCATTTTTTTAACGCACTGTGCATGAAGATCTTGCATCAAAGAATTAATTTACTACATTATAACTTGATGTATAAATATGCAATATGGTCTAAAATATTTTAATTTCAATCAAAGTTTCAGAGTCTATAAAATTTATAGTAATAACAAAAGTGATATATTCCAAAAATTAAAAGTTTTATTTAAATTGTTTCTATGACTTAAAAGGAAAAATCGTTCTTATTAAACGTATAACAGTAAGTGTCCATAATTCATAAAAATTATTTCTTGGTGCAGAATAAGACGTATAAGTAAATCAATGAAAACAAATAAATTAATGAGTTTTTCAATGAATCTGTGAACCCCAGAAATGAACAAATCAATAAATGAACAAATCAAAATATAAAGTAAATATCGCGCTATAGCAATGACTCAGCAAATCTATGGATTAGTGCAGTGTTTCCCAAACTTATGACTTCTGTGTACCCTTTCTAAATTTTTCGTTACGCTACGTACCACTAACAAAATAATGAATGTATTTTTTTAAAAATATTTTTTTTTCTCTTTTGGTACAAAATTTTGTCAATACTAACCAGCGATCTATATTCTATGTTGGGGATAAAAATTATATTTTATAAAAATAATCAAAATAAGTAGAATTTATTTCAAACTTTTACTATAAAAAAATTGCACAAAAGTTAAAAATCACAACTGGCTCTTGACACCACTAATTAAAACTGTTAACTCTGCAAAAAACAGCCAATAGAAAAATACGCAATTGTAAATTTTCATGGCTAGCTTTGCTTTTAAATTTTTTTTTTTTTTTTTTTTTTTTAGATTTTTTTTTCACATTGTTATTTTCAATTCTCGATTATATTCGAGTGTGAAAAATTATAGCAGCATAAAATACAACGCCACTCGAATTATCTCGAGTGAGCACAGTTTGGCCTGTTTAGAGCTCTCGAATTAGCTTGATCGCACAAGTTAAGTGGTTAAAAGAAATCATGGTTATTAAATAATGGGATTAGAAATTAATTAATGGCTTGCCAAACTGTAATTAACTACAAACTAAGATTGCAAATATTAGACAGATATTGCCAGTTTTGAAAGTTTTAGCTTGACATATGCGAAAANTTACAAAGTAGTGAAGTATATAAGCCTACAAAATATTTAGAAATAGTGGTGGATAAAAATATACTAAATTGAATTCATTAAACCAAGAATCACAATTGATAAACTACCACTTGAAAATATTTATTTGCCGTCCGGAGCAAGTTGGTATGTCTGCTGGATTGGAGATCTATCGTTCTCTGATTCAGGTCAAAATTACGATCTGTGGATGAATGAATGGGTCAGCCTTATAAACAGGTGTGATGTATGATGTGGCAGAAGTCGAATTCCTGCTCTATATATCGCGCTACTGAAAAACAAGAATCGCACACTCTGCCTTAAATTTGCTCGGTTTCACCAAGTAGGCTTGCCCGTGTGGCAAATAGCATTAGAACCAACCACTTATGTAGTAGTGGAAAAATACTAAACTATAAATAACTTAAATTTCGTTACCACTGGAAACTAATTTTTTACAAAGTGAAGCAAGCTGGCATCTCTGCAGTACATTATCATTTAAATATATCTAGGAGCCTGAGACCGTTTACTGCCGTTTTCCCATCCATCTGGAGGTTTTAACTTTAAGGTGATACTTTCTGATAGCTGGAATGTAAATTGAAGTGAAAAGAAAATTAAATATTTTGTATTCTAAATAAAGTTTTATGTCTTCTTTCACGTTTTCAAAAGAAAAAATTTTATTAAATGCAGCGGTATCACAATTTGTGGCTTTTTCAAAAAGTTTGCAATTTAGCTTTGCAATACGATGATGAGATCGCGATGTTGAGATGTTGAGATCGCGATGTATGGTCGTATTTCGAATAAACCATCTTGCTTGCGTTATTTTTTGGAGTATTTTATTCTGGCATCTGTGTTTCTCTCGAAGTCATGTGGAGATGTTACACCAAGCTGGAGATGCGTAAGTTCTGTATGAGACGGATCATTGAGATGTAAAGAAAGAGTTAAAGTTCCATTTTAGAGTTTTGAAGAAGAATTTGTGACAGGCTGCTTGTGCTTTTTTGATACTTGATTTGACATGATCTTTCCAATTAAATGTACTGTTTTTGACCAGACAAAGATATTTTTCACTTTTGACAGTGGGGATAGTTTCGTTAAAGAGAACAGTTCCAGATAAGACATTAAAACAGTTCATTCTAAATGCAGTGACTTACTCCAGCTGTTTATTGTTTAACCCTTTGACGGTCAGGGAAATGAGCATTTTCGTTTCATTAATTCGCGCAGTATTACGTGCAAACAGTAGTCGCAAATGGCATCTGTTTTCCATCTCCGTTCTACCGAAAATGTCACCCTTCTCTGGCGATGCCAACTGCTCCGTCTTCTGGAATTGTTATAATAAAGTGGTAGCAAATTATGCAGTAAATTTTTGTTGGAGAAGGACAGTTACGCCTACTTTCTAGTAGAGTAACCAATAGATTGTTGCTCTAACGTTGCATTTTATATGTTACTTATAGTTTTTGATATATAGTGGTGAAAAAATTACTTAAAAGGAGAAATTCTAAACTGAAAGTAACTTGACAAGTTGGCATCTCTGGATGCGGTAGATAGCTCGCCTCGCGCGCTTGAAAAATTTCTTAAAGTATTCATATTACATAAATAACAGTTTTTACGTACTTTTCGTTTTTAACATAGTCAATGCAGAATAATAAAGGCGAACGAGCTCAGCTCGTCAGCTCGCATTGGGGAAAAATTTCACTACGCGAGTAGTGCTCGTTACTAACCATTACGGTCAAAATCTTGCTCCCGAGCGGAACTCGTTTGCGCGCATCAAGAGGCACGATTCGATTGCGAGCTGAACTCGTTCATAACCGTCAAAGGGTTAAGTAACTTTTTGCATTTATAGTGGCCCGTTGCAATCCTGATAATCTCTACTATTTATGAAAACTTTTGTTGTTGAGGAAAATATTTCTTCTTATTGGTATAAATAGTATTTATATTTAACACATTAGCTGTATATAAATTATTTAAACGCACATATAGAAGGTCAAAAAACGACACTGTTTTCAAGTTATGATAAAATTTTGTAAAAATTCTATTCTTCTCTCTAATTCTATTATGTTCATATAATATTTTCTGTTCAATTTAATATTTTTTTTGCTGCAGAATTAATTATCTTTTACTAAATTTTAATTATTACAGATAAAAGAATTGGTGATGCTCCTAGTGAAGCCGAAACTCCAGCAGGCGATACAGTTGTAAGTAAAATGATTATTAACTTTATTTATTTTCTTTGATAATAATTTAAAAATTGAATAGAATTTAAAGTTTGAATAGAATTTTTAAAGAGAGGAGATATTTTGTGCCTGGTTAACATTCGATACAATTCAGAAATAATGATTAAACATACGTCAATGATTTCATGAAGAACAAAATAACAATATTTTAGTTATGGCTGTTTTCAAACTGTTAAGTATAAAACTGATAACAACTTTTATGTGATGCTTTTTTGTAAATGTTTCAGGTAGTTTCTTCCAACAATTCTGAAAATACACTAAACTCTCTCCAAGAAAACGATACAACTCCAATATTGTAAGTAATGCTTCAAATCAATTATTTATTCTATCATCAAACTTACCTATTTTTGATTGAAACTTATGTTTTTCAGGAACACAGTCCTGAGTTTAATTGAAACTGGAGTTAATATTTTAAGAATCGTTCCACATAAAACGTCTAGTCAAGCTCATAAGGCGATAAACTACATCAAACTATTAACTGATCTCACAGATGGTGAGTGATTTATTTTTGTGCTTTGGGGACAAGGTTGGTCAACTTTTAAAATTATCTTGTACGACATATAAACTATAATGGTAACCAAGCCGAATGCTTAGTTCAAGTGAATTTGAATATTTGAATTCTTCAACCTCTCCTCTAATCCTAACATTTTAGTTTAAATAATTTATTAATTTATTTTTTCATCGTCTATCTGTTACTCGCAGGGAAGTATTTTTATTTTAACACTATAGGTTTACGAACGTTTCTTATATACCTACCTCTACGAACACGCGTCACTTTGACGCAGGAACGAATACATATAACAGCACTTACAGAGATGTCCACTTGAGCCATGTTTACTCAAAATTTTGTCTAAATTACGATCGCGTTAAATTGACGCATATCCGTAGGGATAGGTATATCACAAAGAGAATTTCAATACTTCAGAATGCTTAAGAAGAGAATGCTTTTGAAGAAAATAAACTTCAATATATATTTACCTCGATCAATGGATAAAAGTCATTACAAGAGATAAAATAAAAATGCAAACGGGTTTTTAAAATTCGAAATGCGTCAAAATGACGCGTCCCGTAAACTTAGTGTTAATTATAGCAATTTTCAAGTTATGTCCGCGATATTGTCAAAGTTCTAAACGTAGTTAATTTTAGCAATAATTTAAGGTCTGTCCAGCAGCCATAAAATACCACAAAACCACCGTAAGTATGAATTCGTGACATTTCAGCATAGTAGGCAGCAGATGTATTAAAATTATTTCCATCTCTGTCGTACTATAAGACAAAAAAAATTTCATTCCAATGCTCTATTACGTGCTGTACTACTTCCTCACGCACCTCTCGAGCCATAACTTGAATTTCATATCATATTATATGTCCTCAAAAAAGGTAAAATTGGTCACCAATAATTGGTATAGCAGTGTACGGTTTATGTTTAAAATTTCTATAGCCATTTTTGAAAGCATCAAGAATAAATCCAAATAATTACTTTGTTAATTAAGTTTGTATTTCCATAAAAATACAAAAGTATTCTAAATAAAATTGGGCTTTTACATATTTTTAAAGAGAAAAAAAGAGAGGGGGGGAACAATTCATTATTGGCAGATCTTAGCTTGACTAATTGCTTTTGATTATGTTATAATTTTTTTCCAGATGTAGAAAATGCATTGAAAAATACAAATTCATCGGCATTCATTGATACTGCTGGAGACTTGCTCGGGGCTTTCTTTCTTACTGTAGTTGATTCGTCAAAATTGGTAAGAAAATTCAGACATAAACTATTTTAAAAAGGTTAACTGAAGTGGTTTTACAGTATTTCGAAAAGAGAACTAAATGTATTAAAAAACTAATCTACTAATAATTTATTATAAAAACAGTCTTACCTTAATAAAAATGCAAATAAATCATACTTAAATAGAATTAGAAAATAAAAAAAGTAAAGAAAGAAAAACAACCCTTTCGGTTCTGTATGATGAATTCTTTGTTTTCTACATTATTAGTTTTCAATGATTTCATATAATTTTAATTGAAAACCAGCCGTTTCGTTTCCATTTAAAAAATATCATCAGCAGAGTGGGTTCTATCTTCCTCATTAGCATATTCATACTCTAAGATAACTTTTTAAAAACATACATATTGGATATAACAGTCGACATTTTTTAAGATCTCAAAAATAGGCATCTGTTTTCTAGACCTTCGGCATAAATTTGAAGAAACGAAAGTGATTTGGAATATAAAACGTAAAGCTGCCAAAGAAAAATGGAAATAATGGAAAAAAGTTCATCTTCACTCTTGGCTACTGAGATTTGTCTAGTTTTCTTTCTAACCTTTATTTTCCATGGCTGGCAACTTTACGTTTTATATTTCAAATCACTTTGGTTACTTCTCATTCACTCCTTTCAAGTCTTGTGTCTTGAAGTCCTGAGCTGTTTTTGTACGATTGAAACATGCATATCGACTGTTATCACCAATATGTGTATTTTTGATAAAGATTTTTTTAATCTTTCTAATAAAGATTTTTTGGGATTATTTATATTAAAAAACTCGATTTATTTATTTTTGGCACAGCTCAACGTTGCCCAGATAGCATTTAAGACAAAATCACTTTTTACTGGTAAGGAGCCTTGATATTCAAATTTTGATCCATTTTTATATGTTGACAATTTTTTTATTTTTAAAAGAGAGTAAGCATAAAATTATACAAGCAAATATCATTTAAAAATATATATATCACAGAATGTTATGTTTGTAAATTTAGTTCTACATTATATTTCACATCTGTATTAAACTAATAAGAAATTGCCGGAAAAAATTTCAAATTTATTCTAAATCATGTAGGTTATGTGAGCAAGCTATACAGGTCTGTTGCTTAACCAGAAAAGTCCAATAATTGGTAGTAAAAAACTTTCAACCTTTTATTCGGAAGAACTAAACTCTGCATCCGGGACAGAATTAAAGGACCAACTTTACTTATTAGCAGTTATTACATATAAGGGTTAAAAGAATGCTGAGCACAATTAAAATATGAAATTTTTAAAATCCATACTAATAAACATGCATTATAATAATTGCTTCAATTAATTTATTCATTTTTCATTTATCCATTATTAATTTTTCATTTATTCATTATTTATTTATTCATTGTTCATTTATTCATTATTCATTTACATATTTTTAATTTATTCATTATTCATTTACATATTTTTAATTTATTCATGATTTATTTATTCATTTATTCGTTCTTCATTTATTCGTTCATCATTTACTATTTTATTCATTATTTACTTATCCATTATTCAATTATTCAATGCTTGTGTAACTTTACAAAAGAAATTATTTTATCAGTTTACTTTTTTTCATTTATTTGTATTTAGTTAAATGGTAACAGCACGGCTAAAGGTTATATAGATTTCTGTAATGTAGATGAATTCCAAAAGAAACTTAATTCTTCAAAAATTCACAATGCCAACCAACTTCAGCACTATGCCTGTAGAATAGCTGAATTAACAGAAAAAGTAAGTACTTGATCTATATTCGTTTTAACTCATTATTCAATTTTTAGTTTTCCTTCCTGATTTCTATCCCGGAGAGTGCCTGATGAAAGAGTTAACAATTTCAAAACAAAATATCGAAACAATTAGCGATAAAAATTCAGTATTATGATGTTGAAAACTAAAGAATTTTATACATAAATTTCATAATTAGTATTTCTTAATTAAAAAAGTTGCCAACGAACTGAATTATCTAAAAGAAGTTGCCAATAGATTAAATTAGTTGAAAAAGTTGCTAACTGTATGAATTAGTGACTAAGTGCTGTTCGTAGGAAATACTCATTCTCCACAACTATTTCCCTTGAGGCCGAGATAGCCTGGCTGGTAGGACACTGGGCCCATGTCCAAGATTCCGTGGGTTCGATCCCCGGCTGCCGAAGACTACCCTTGTAGTAAATGATGACCGATGCACGTTAAATCTGTCGAGTCGCTAATGTTCCCATAACAAATCAATATCTCTGGGGGTACTGCTCCAGGAGTTTCTTTGTCTTCTGGATTGGTTCAAAATTAGAAGACTACGGAGTTGAACATCAGTATCCGTAAACCCAAAAATTGGGTCGGCTACGGATAAAAAACAAAGTTTTAAAAAAAACTGTTTCCCTTACAAAAAATTTATTGTGTTTTTGAGATTTATTTGAGGTTGTTTTCATGAAGTTGAAATAGAGGTGTATTTAGTGAGGTTGAGTTGGGTGCGAAACACAACCTCATATTTCAAAACTTGAGGTGCATTTTCTTACACCAGTTCGACCTTAGGTTGATATTTTACAGCCAAAGATTTTTATTTGACACTTAAAAGAGGTTACAATTAGATAACATCACTTGCTTTGTTTTAGATGTTAAGTGTATATTTTACAACCTAAGGTATTTAATTTCACACTTATAAGAGGTAGTATGCATGCTTTTTTTTAAAATTATGAATTCCTTTTTATGTAATAATATGAACATAAAAAGTGAGAGATACAATTGTATCTCTCACTCAAATATAATTCATAAAAAGTGCAAAAATTGGCAACTATACGTACGCATTTAGAAAATAATTATTCTCATATTCTTTAATGAAAAAGTATTTTAACGTTCTAAAACACAAATTTCTATTTTCAAAATTTGTACGATAGTAATATCTAAATGGAAATTTGATTATAACAAATTCCTTTCAAAATTGATTAATCAAATTCAGCGAAAAACCTAGAGTAATTTAATTGTATCTCGTTTTTCCTCAGAAGATATTTGCTTAATTATGCACTGGTATATTGATTTTTTTCGCCTTTTAGCCTGAAATTTTCTCAAAAATATTTTGAATGAAAACAAAATTTACACACTAACATATAATTTTTAATTATTTTGAATACCGGGTGGTAAAACAATTGATGAATTGACATTAAAAATGAGTTAAGTGCCTACAAAATTCTACTTTATAAAGGGATTATCGAAAGTTTTAATTCCTCATTAGCTAGAATTTAAATTTTCCTTTTTTATGATATGTTTACAGATCCGTTTGGACACATTTTCATACAGATTTATTTCACTTAACACGTTGAATGCCATGTCAATTTTACACGGTTTGCCGTCTGGCCACACTGCAAATAACTACAAACTAAATTTGCAAATATTAGACAAATCTTTCTAATTTTTTAAAAGGTTTTGCATGACATATATATATACTCATACTCATATGTGGTGGTAATCTTAGCATTAGCCCCGGCAGGGGCTCTAACTAATTCATCTGAGTGGGAATAAATAGTAAATCGCCGAAGCGCAAATGAATGGTGAAAGTTGGGGTTCAGTAACATTTACTGAGTGAAAATTAAAATTAAGTAGCGATATTAAACAAACAAATTTAAGAGAGAGAAGAGATTTTTGTGGCAGACTGCCTCGTCTCCCCCAGAGGTATTACTCCCGAGCTTCTCAGGTGCACAGTAGCCACAGAGAAAAGGAAAAATGCATGATAATAAATGCTCAAAAATATATACAAGTATTTACAAAATTGACGGGACAAAACTCCATCGGATAGGAAAAGGGCGGTCGCCGGGCTATATTTTATATTGTCTTTGATTAGCTCGAAATAAAAGTTTTTAAAGTAGTTGCATATATGACAGGAGAGTGCACCTCTGAAGAAACTTGCACATAGTTCAGCTATGTGTTCATCTATTTTGTTGATTTTTAAATCTCTTCTTATATTTTTCATTCTCATGGATCTGGGGGCTCCAGTGATGTATCTGAGAAATTCGTTTTCAGTTCTCTCCAGTTTCTTCTTTTGAGTAGCAATGGTTGTGCTCCATGCCGGGGCTGCGTAGCTGATGATCGGTCGTATGCATTGGAGTATATATTGACATACCCTCCAACTGCTACGGAATTTCCGTAGTTTCAGAAATCTTCTTTTCAGACGGTAGCAAAATTAATGTCTTAATATTTGAAAAAAATTAATTTTAGCGTAACTTGTCCACTATTACTTATGAAAGTGCAGGCCATTTGGCTAGATTCTTAAGTTCTGATAAAAGTTTTATGGGAGATCCATTTGCTTTAAAATTTCTACTTTGGTTCGCTACCACTAGAAAGAATTATTTTCAAAATCTTCATAAGTTAGAGGGTATGTATTGATATAGTGGTGAATAATATAAGCCAGCGAATTGTTTAGAAATAGTGGTGAATAAAAATCTTCTAAATTTAATTTATTAAACCAAGAATCACAATTAATGAACTACCATTTGAAAATATTTATTCGCTGTCCGGAGCAAATTGGCATCGCCGTGCATATAAATAAAACTATTTTCGTGTGTTCTATATTGCATTAATTTCTTCAAATCATTTTGGTAACGATAATAATATTAAAAAAAATTAACAATTTACTCAAGTTATGTATTTCTAATAATCTTGGCTTCGCCGGTCACCGGTGACCCCAGTGGTGCTACAAATAAACTCAGTGTCGGTCAGCGGTGACTTCCATGGCATTCAACGAGTTAAAAAAAACAATCCTTGATGGTAGTCACAATTTTTATAAATACTAAAAGTATGTCTCCTTTATTTACCACCATTTTATTTAGCAAAATGGTAATCCAATCAGTAGCTCTATCTTTGGTGAAACGTACTCCTAAGCTGGAGCTGGTAGCAACTTCAAATATTCTTAATGCTACCAACTTTTAATTCCTCTTTGTTAAAATTAGCTTCTAAAAAAAGGTCTCTTTTTGATGCAAAACGAGTTTTTCACTTCTTTAGAAGAAATGAAAGCAGCTTTTTAAAAGTACGTTTTTTTCCGAATGGATTACATATCGTGATGGTACAAAATTTAAAAGTATGAAGCTCTGGTTACATAAAAGATGACATTACCTTAACTTGTATCCCTTTTATTACGGTCATATTTATAGACCGAAAATTAAAATGTCTTAAAAAAGACTTCTAAGCAGTTTTGCTACCAAATTTACATTTCGTAATCTAATGTAGTATTATAAAAAAGGCAACATTAGCTTTTTTGAGAAATAAGTGTATAAGATAAATAAGCTAATTATAATGGATTTTCGATTTTTTTTATTTAATTCTTATTATTTATTTCCTCTTTTATTGCAGATGCTGGACTCAAATAAAAACTCTGACAAAGAAAACCTTCACGTTGTTCATGATAAATTGAAACAAATATTAAGCAAAGAGAAATACATAAGCATTTATCAAAATCTTCAAAAATGGGCAACTGACTCAAACTCAGGGTAAGTAAACATTGGTTAAAGTTTACTATTTTAAAAATCTATTTACTTTCAAAAGCTCACATAAATGTATTTAAAACGGTAGTTCTGAAGTGAGTGTTCTGAGTGTTTAATCGTTGGTATTTTCAAAATAATTTGTTAATTGATAGAATAAAATTTTTTTAATTGTAGATTTGCTAATTAAAAGCGAGAATGTTAAATGAAAAGAGAGATATTTAGGTAAATTAGTCAAGGCTAAGAAAAAAATGTCATATTTTTTTTAATTAATGGAATGTGCTCAAAAATATAAAAGATTTTATTAATAAGTAATTTCTTAATTTAACTATTTATTCTTAACTACCATATATAGGTAGAATCAAGCATAGTATTCATACCAAAAATTATTTCAGCAATCCAGCCTTTAGAGAGAAGTAGGTCCACCGCTCTTGTACCTATATTGCCGTTTTTTTCTACATTTAAATTTACGCCATCTATATACTCGACTATATGTCTAGTCATGTCATTGTTTTATCTCTTTGAGTAATGTCAGGTTCAATGAATCAGAGAGACCACCAGGGCTTGTACTATGAAACTAGAACAATTCTATGTTCAGCAGTCCGATTTATAAGTATGGTTAGTTAAAGCTATTATAAATTAATTTTAATAAGCAAAGGAATAAATATTAATGAATAAATCATGAGGATAACTTCAGAGTTTAATGTTAGGTTAAACTGTTAGGTTATGACTTAGTTGGACTTAATTTTTTTTAATCTGAAAACCGAAATAATAATAAATATCTATTTTTGTTTAAGTCATTCACTTTGCAGGATAGATAAGGTAATTATTCTATGCAATTTCCTTATAGTAGCGCAGGTAACTTTGCTTCTAAGAATTTTTCTAATATGTATTAATATATATGTTTTATCGCAGTAGTTACCAAACAGGGTTCCATGAAACCCTAAGGTTCCGCGTAAGAGGTAAACGGGTTACAAGAGTTAGGACTTCTTTTAGAAATTTTGTTTAACATTTTTGAAACCTGTAATTATATTTATGTCCAATCAATATTCCATTATTTACTTACTTAATATTTTGATTAGCTTTGCGATATTATTTAAAGTAAAATGCCAATGATAAGGAAATATCAGATTTCTTTAAAAAAAAATACATATAATTTTTCAGATAACAATATAGTAATGAACTATTGAAAGCATTCATTATTAAATACTGCATTAGTACCGAAAACTCTGCCAAACGTTATTTCAAACCGAAATAAAATGACTGTATTGTTAATAAATAATGTGTTTCTCTACTAACAATTTTCAACGTATGTAGCAGTTCATTTTAATTTTAAAGAAAACCATAGTTAGGCTTATTTCTATCATTTTCAGCTTATGTTTATATAGCAAACACAAATTCATAAGAAGACTGCATTAAGCTTCAGAACTGTCGGATATAAAACCTAATATAAGATTATTAATGATGAAACAATACCATTTTTCTAACTAAATATTTTCTAAATACAGCAGTCTTGTATAGGTTAACACCTTCACAATAGTCTTTATATACTGTAGTTATAAATTGAATTAATATTGCTCATTTAGGGTTTCGTAACCAAAAAGAAGATGGGAACCTCTGCTTCATAGCATAAATTTTGAGTTGTAACGTAAAAAAAGGAACCCTTCATGGGAAATCAATAATTAAACAGTTTTAATTTGAAGTATAAACAAAATACTAAATGATTGACCCTTTAGAAATATTTTTTCGCTGTAATTATTATTTTTATACTACTTTACAAAAATTTACCCAACGACTGTTCGAATTAACAGCTACGTCATACCTCTTTGATTATTGTTTTTAAAATTACTATCGATTTACAATTTTTTTTTTATAGGATCGATCATAGTTCATTTTCCAAGTATGCATACAAAAACGAGAGCATCGATGATTTGATATCTGTGATGGAGTGCGGGGCTCAGCAAATAAATGGTAATTATATAGAACCACTAACTGCACTAAATAGTACTACTTATACATAGAATTTAAATGAATGTTAAATTAGTTTTTACTTGCTTGCTTTATTTAAACAACTGGGTGCCTAGGCCACGCAGTGGCCCCTAACCCATCCATCTTAAAAATTATTACAGTGAATATAACATTTTGATTTATGTAACAGTGAAATTAGTTTTTTTAAAAATGGGCTTTCTTCTCGATTTCTGGAACATAAATTTCGAGTGGTAAGAATACAGTACAAGCAGCATTTAAAAAAATTCCCTTACGTATTCAAAAACTTCTTCAAAACTGCGTTGCGCAACCATCACCGAAATTGAATTCTATTCAAATAATCTACCACCTTAGTTCTGAAAGGAAGAAGGGAGCTAGAGTGTAGGGCTCATCCGGGATCTTTCAATTTATAGACTTTTAATGCGGTATACAGACCCTCTAACTACCATGAGTTTCTTGTAGTTTCAGAAAATATATATCATAGAGTAGTGATGGTTCAAGCGAAAACTCTCTATGGCAGAAGGGAAGATTATAAGAAGACTCGTCGGCGCCCCTAAATGCATTAGCAATAATAGTATAAAAAGAGATCTTAAAATTGATGACATCAACGTCTATATAAAAAATTTGAACAAAAATTTCTACGATGAAGCAAAAACCTTTACCATCAGCAATTTTAACTCACTCCTAGATATTGAATTAATTGACGATAACACTAAATTTAGCCCAATCACTGCCTTTTTTCTTAGGGATATGACGTTTGCCCTAACACACGAAATACACTCTCGATTTTTGGTGCTAAGCACCACCTCTACCCCCATCTCCATTCCACCTCACTACTCCTCATCATCGAATTACTACTACAGATGAATCGGTTAATGCCGCTTCGCGGCAGCGCACCGAGATTTATATGCTTTCTACCATTCTACCATTCTTGGTTCAAGCGATAGATCGCTTCGCAATGAGGTGTCCCGGGATCGAATCCCAGCGATGGCTGGTTGATAAGAATTCGCACCCGGTTCGCACCGATTACAGTGCTGACGTAAATTATCCTCAGCGGTAGACGAATCATGGGTAAGAGTTCACTTGCCGTCAGGCTAACCGTGGGACGATTTCTTGGTTTTCCTCCCCATGTAACGCATAAGTGGGTAAGTTCTATCAGAAAATCCTTGCAAATTTTTCCCAATATTTGATCTAGGAGTTCGCTTGTCTTCTGAATTGGAATCAAAAATTTCAATGTTACGGATATAAATATTGGTAGTAATAAATTCAAAATTAGGTCTGCTTTTTAACGACGGTTATTTAAAAAAAAGAAAAGAAAAAAAAAAGAAGAATTCATAATTAATAATTAAAATTAAAAGAATTCAATATAGGAATAATTTAAACAAACATATAAACTGTCAGATAAACAAACGGTCATGCTCTTAATTTCTGATAAAAGTTTTATGGAAACTTTGTTTGTTTTAATCTCTACGAGACGGGCGAGTCATATATGCATTCTCAAGGTCAGGGATGGGCAAACTACGGCCCTCGGGCCAACTGTGGCCCGCCGGAAGGTTTTATCCGGCCCGTGGATAGAATTTTAACTTGCCGATCCGTGACGAATATAAACAATATACATTCATTTTCTTATCTACTTTGTTTAAAGCTGTTTTTGTTCTTTCTTTTTTAACAAAGATGACTATTTTTTTTTCTCTATTTACAAAACATAAATTGAGGGAAATAGGCAGCTTCAATTGGTAAAATGTTGAAAGCAAAAGTTCTTTATAGAATAGCCGTAGATTGGCGCCATCTGAAGCAGTTGTTTCTAAATATGCCAAAGTTAGAGTTTTATGAATCACTACCAAAAACTAGTTTCCCAAATTTAATATTTCATGCCTAGAAAATCAGTGCTATGCTTGCTTCATCTTATATATGTGAACAAGTGTTTTCAACTATAAACCTTTGAAAAAATCAGCCTTGAGCATAAAAATAAGTGCATCTCACTTGGAACCTCATTATAAAGAACTTTTAAAAATGATATCGCAATTTCATTCATCTCATTAAATATCTAAATTAAAACTTTCATATCATTTTTTTATTTCAGAAGTTTTTACTTGGCCCATCAAACTTTTTTCTTCGTTTTTTTGCCCTTGACCAAAAAAGTTTGCCCATCCCTGCTCAAGGTGATGACAATCAGGGTGGGAAAAAAAATAAAACTCGTAGGCAAAATGTTTCTATAGCTGTTTATTTGGGGGAGGAGTAATAATAGTTTGATTTACTTAATATACCACTACTTAATTCAAAATAAAAATTATATAGTTTAAATTAACATTGATATGTTAGAATTAAAGTAAAAGCAAAAACAAGACTTTTAAATCATAAAAAATAAACCTTGTCCAAACTTAAGCTACCGCTTTTTATTTTTTTTTCCATTCTGATTCCCTACAAATACATTTATGACTCGTCCGTCCCCAAAAAGGTTGAAAAACTTTAGTTCACTACCACTGAAAAATGGTTTCTCAAATAACCTCAAATGTTAGAAGGTATGAGTCTTTTATGTTTGACACATTCTGTTTTACACACAAGCCCAGTTAATAACACGTTTAATGCCTCGCTAATTTTGCATTTCTTGCCCGTCTTGTCACACGGTTAATAACTACTAACTTAATTAGCAAATTTGATAGATTTTTTAAATTTTTTTGAACAGGTTTAGCATGACATAACTGTAAAAAAGATGTGAATTATATAAGCCTACAAATTGTTTAGAAATAATGGTGAATAAAAATCTACTCAGTTGAATTTATTAAACCAAGAATCACAATTAATAAACTACAACTTGAAAATATTTATTCGCTGTCCGGAGCAAGTTGGCATCTCTGTGTGCATATTGCTTTAATTTCTTCAAACCATTTTAGTAACGATAATAATATAAAAAATTAAAAACTTACTCGAATTATGTGTTTTTAATAATCTTGATTTCGCCAGTCACCGATGACCCCCGTGGAGCTACGAACAAACTCAGTGCCGGTCACCGGTGACCCCATGGCATTCAACGTGTTAATTATAAGTTATTATTTGTTAGGCTTTATCATTAATTAAATATATACATTGTTATATAAATTTTTTACTTGTTCAATTTAAACTTGATCAATTATAAACTCGTTCACACTCAACAAAATGTCATGACGCTCGTGCAGACAAAAGAAATTTACTTAAAAATATAATTAAAAAAGTATACATCAATATCGGTATATATATAGCTTAAATGAAGATAAAAGCTCAAATTTTTATGAATAAATATGTATTAGATATATTAAAAGCGATGATTAAGAAGTGTTTAAAAAAATTTGCAAATGTAAAAAAGTAACTTTGATTTGATTTTTAAAAAAAATCCGTAGATTTCCGGTAAAATTATCGGAGTATAGAATATCGAGCAGACGTATTATGGTTGAGCGTAATAACGCATGCGCAAAGCATCATGGAATAAAATCTCCTGTGGGCAAAAATTCGCAGAACAAAATTTTTTCATGTATCGAGAGTTCAGTTTATTCCATTAAAGTTTCATGTTTTTTTAATAATACACTTTTTGTTAACCCCAAAGGAGTTATACATCCGAATTTCGAAGATGAGTCAAAAATTGTATCACCTAATTCTACAAGCTTCATCAACGGACTGAACAACTTAGATAAAGATAAATTTGTAAGTCTGATTTTAAAATCATTTAATTTGTTTTATTTATGCCACATTACTTAACTAGAAATAATTATTTTACAGATAAACGAGAGGAACATTGTACTTGCAATACTGAAAATGAAAGATATTATGAACTATTTTAAGTTAAATCCTCTATTTGAGAGCATAACAAAGTTTTTCAAAGAATCAGATACAGTGACAATGTAAGTACATGATTATTTTTTATTTGAGTTTAATTTCTTTTCTTTAGTAAACTATCTAAGCCTACTACATTATTAGGTTTATTCATTTTATCGTACGAAAAAAGCTACACGTTGAATGCTATGCTAATTTTACATGGCTTGCCCGTCTGGCCACAACGAAAAATAACTACAAACTAAATCTGCAAGTATGAAACAAATTTTGCTAATTTTTAAAAGGTTTAGCATGACATATCAAAGTGGTAAATTATATAAGCCTACAATTTGTTTAGTAATAGTATTGGATGAAAAATCTTCTAAATTGAATTTATCAAACCAAGAATCACAATTAATAAACTACCACTTGAAATTATTTATTAGCTGTCTGGAGCAAGTTGGTATCTCTGTGGGTATAAATAAAACTATTTCTGCGTGTTCTATATTGCATTAATTTCTTCAAAACATCTTAGAAACGATAATAATATAAAAAAAATTAAAAATTTAGTCGAATTATGTGTTTCTAATAATCTTGACTTCACTGGTCACCGGTGACCTCCATGGCATTCAACGTGTTAATGCAAATTAGCTTTTTGAAGTTGCGAGTAACAAATTATATTTTTTATTGAAAAAAATTGTGTATAATTATATCTTAAGTTCATTCAAGGCATAAGGAAACTTCATCGTTTTAAACGGTTCTAGAATCCACTAACACTTGAATAGTTCTTGAACTCATACGTTCACCAACTTTCTTAAATCAAATTCCATTAATAAATAAGAGAAAAAAACTTACTTCGAGTTCAAAAAGGTCCTCACAATAAATTTTGAAATGATTTTGCTTCATCAACACGTGTTGTTCTGACTTGGAAAAATTACTAAGTATTTTCAAAACTGCTGAAAATTTAAATTTACCCTTTGAGAAATACAAAAATATTCCCATATCTTTCCCCCCATATATTCTGCCTTTAAATTAACAGCATTACGTATAGCTTATAATAGATATTACGAATTATAGATTACAAACACTACATATACAACAGTACTTATACAATTACATACACAACAGTACATACACAACAGCACAAATACATATACAACAGTTACATATACAATTTACTACTACTTCAATAAATGTTCAGACCTGATAATTCACTGCAAAACTAAAGCTACTCATTGTAACTAAAAACTTTTTAATATGCATAATTTTCATTTTAATCATCATCAATCAAATCGCAGTTATACTTAAGGTGACCAGAGGTACTCAAATCTTGAGATCAGACCCCGAATTTCAAAAGTTGTCCTCAAAATCTTCTACTCAATTTGAGGACAGAAAACATCCTGAAACCTATTTTCCTCGAATATCCACGAATATATATTTCAAAGGAACTTTTTTATATGCATTGAGATATCAAAAGCAACATACTAAAACTAAATGATGAAAATTCCATACTCGTCTGTAAATAATTTCAACAAAAAATAAACAAATTTGAATAATTGTTTACTAATTCATTTTGCATGTGTTAAGTAAATGCAGATATGTCAAAATTCCTTAGTAATGATATCACCTGATAGTAGTTATCAATTTTTGAAAAAAAGTTACATTGCTGAGTTTCCAATTCATTAATAGGGGAGAATGGATATAAATTAAGGATATATGGATGTCTTCGAATCACAGATTTGTTTGAGGACCGCCGCTGATTTGTCGTGAAATCATGGTCACATCCGGTCATCTTAAATACGTACTAACTACGTCAATGGTCGAGAAACTTTGTTCTCAAAGTTAAGGCAACGCCTCCACATGGTTTTTTATAAGTAGTCCGATCAGACCACGACAGAGATAAGCCTCCACACGGTTTCTTATAAGTAGTCTGCGCAGATTATTTAAAAAGCGAACCACTTGTGAGCAGGAACCCAAATTCTATTTTAAAAGCACTTAGAGAAATTTATCATATATATTTGAGAATTGAATCTGCAGTGGTTGACAAATAAATAAAGAAAACCAATTATATTCATAAATTAAACAAATTTTTAGACACATATTTGCTACCACTTTATAATTTTTAATAGATTTCATATTAAATGGTTCATTCACTAATTGGTTTACCTTCATAGTAATCTGATCAGACTAACTACAAAAAACCGTGTGGAGGCTTTCAGTTATAGGAGGCGTTTAATGGAAAATCTATTAAAAATTAGAAAGTGGTAGCAAATATATGTCTAACAATTTTTGTAATTTACGAATATTATTGGTTTGTCTTATTTACTTGTCAACCAACTACAAATTCAATTCTCAAATGTAATGGAATTTTTGGAATTGGTGTACATATAGGAATAGTAATTGATGTAAGAAAAGAAAAACTCAATTAACCTATGAAAAATTAGTTTACATTTTAATGCCATTTTTTTCTTAGTAAGTACATTTACCACGACCTATTAGGAACTGATTGACTTTTATTTTTCTTCGCTTATAAAATAAGTTTATAAATGTTACCAACTTCAGAAGGAATTATGCATTTTATAACTTTTATATGTTTTCTCATACTAAGAAAGGGTTGCCAATTTTATTCAAACGCACTTCAAAAAAGCTGAAGTTTTTAACAAATGGAAACCAAAATTAAAAGTGGTAAAAAAGCTCACCATAAACCTTAAAAATTGGTGGTAAGTATACTTACTACGGCCTTAAAAAGGGTTAAATAAAGAAGACTATTATTACCACGCTCACAAGTAAACTGCTGTAAAAATAGTTTGGCTACCAGTTTTATCTTTTTTACCGTGATTATCGCCACACTGAGAATGCATATATGCATTCTTAGTAAGGCGAGTCATATATATATATATATGATATATATATATGATGGGCGAGTAATAATATGACTCGCCCATCTCGAAGAGGTTAAAAAATGGGCGTAATTATTCTTGCACAGCAAATTTTATTACTTAATTCGTTACTAAAAACTTTTGCGGAAAGCGGAGCATTTGGCATCCCTGTATATCCACTTAGCTTAATTTCTCTATTTTTTTTTCTTCTTAGTTTTGAAATATATACAAGGATGTCAACTACTCCACTTTCTGCAAAAGTTTTAAGAAATTGGCAGCAAATTAAACTGTAAAACTTGTAGAATATAGATAATTATACCCACTCTTAATTACATTTCATATGATAGTTTTGTAGAGATGAAAAAATTACTTTAAATGAAAAATATTAAACTTAAAATAACAAAAAATTACGTTATCGCTAGGAAATAGTTTTTCGCAAGTTGGCATTTCTGTTTATATTCAGATTATTAAAAATAATCAATAAAAAAAAGTATAAAATAACTACCACTATTTTAACAAAAAATATATTAATATAGAAATAGAGAAATCAAAAAATGTGTATATGTATTAAAGAAAACGGCATCAATTTTAATCAAGTAGCAATCATTCAAATAAATGGTAGCTACAAATTGTTTATAATAATACAAGTGAGGAAAGAACTCTTGTGATGAATATACGCTTAGCACTTCCTTAACTCCTTAAACGTACTAACATGGGCGATTTTATATCTCGGGTTATTTAATTTCTAATGCCTGTTTGAGATCCATTCTATTAAAAATTGATAGGCTAGATTAGATTTATTTACCACAGATGACATCACTATGGAGTATTTCTCTTAAGTAAACCACGTGGTGCATTTTGATGATAAGCCATTTGATATATTAATTTAATTTATTGATTATTAATTTATTATTAATTGCCATATTGATTTAATTTGATTTTAATGCTTCGAAACTCAAAATTAACATCTAATCAAAACCTTGTTTGTACAGTAATTTTTTTCTATAACTCTTACACCAATCCCAACTCCCTAGTCATCTGATATTGCAAAAAATAACTTACACCATACCTAGATATATATTCGTTTTGTCAAAAAAAAAAAAAAAAAAAAAAAAAAAAAAAAAAAAAAANAAAAAAAAAAAAAAAAAAGCTCGATAATTTCTGAAGAAATAACTCGAGAAACTCGATAATTTCTGCTGATTTTTCTGAAGAAAAAAAACTCGTGGTTTAAGAGGTTAGATGAATGGATCCCATTTTTCAAAAAAAAAAAGTAGTAGCTTAAGTGTTTAATTATTATAATTTATTTTAGAGACACAAGAATGTTCAGTTGACCATAATATGCTAAATATTAGATCTCTCAAAAAATTCTGTTAGCGAGATAACAAGCCCAACTATTCAAGAATGCAAAAGGTGTATTCATTAAACGCACGCAAAGGTGTATTCATAAACGCATAATTCACACTCACTTCAAGAAAGCTGAAGTTATTAACAAATGGAAACCTAAATTAAAAGTGGTAAAAAAGTTCACCATGGACCTGAAAACTTGGTGGTAAGTATACTTACCACGACTTTAGAAAGGGTTGGTAGAAATCACATAAATCTCGGTGCGCTGCCACGAAGCGGCGTTAACCGATTCATCTGTAATAATAAATCGATGATGAGGAGAAAAAGGGTTATATACCTGACAACTTTTGATCCATTCGAGGAGGATTTTCCCCAGTGGCAGTAAAATGGAATGTAAATAACAACTTTAGGCAGAAACATACGTTGCAGATTTGGGGGGTATCTGCCGATTGCTACATCAGTATTCCATATTTATATATATACTTAATTTTTTTTTAAAATTGTGGTGATCAAAAGGATTATAAATTTAGTTTATAAATGCAAGGAATGTATAGAAAGCATACATTTTACTACCACTTTCAATAAAAAAATAAGATTATACGGCAAATGCGTAAAAGTTGGCAGGTATGACGGTTAAAACACAAAGAAAACAATTAGCAATAACACTTATATAAAACTATATATACACAAAAAAATAGTCAATAATTGAGAGAAAGGAAACCTAGCTAGAATTGAGAGGGTTTTACTACATGTTTTTCTTCTTTTATCATCTTACACAAGTGTCTGGTGTTAAAACTTAAATAAAACAAGGCAAACGAAAGTATTATAAGCGGCCGTTGAAGCGTGATCATTAAATCTGGGATGCAAATCAGCTCCGTAATTAACAAACGGGAATACTGCTTGACCACTAAAGATATAAGACTAGAAATAATTTAAATTTTTCCAGGAAAAAATCTATCCTTGAGAACTATTATTTTTCGAATGGCTATGAGTTATATAATATGAAATAAATCTTAGGACACTTTACTGATTTACAGACCGTTATGAATTCGATGAATGAGCAAAGGCCATGTGTGACTCGTGAATTTCAGATCCACTGTAAATGCGAAGTTATATTCAAGAAACGTTATAAAAGTTCAGATATAAGTTAAATATTTAACAAGTGTTACAAAACTATATATATATATATACATAGNTATATATATATATATAAATGTAATAAGCGAGTCAACAGCCTCTATGTAATCCCGCCAGATGTCGCTCGTCTGAAGGAAATGTAGAGAACTTTCTCGATGTAAATGAAGAGAGTCAGTTGATATTGTTTCTAAGTGAAACTGGTAACCTTAGTGGTTAAGACTCTAAGTGACTATGTTATTAGTTAATTGAAGTTTGTTTCTGTGTGAAACTTGAACCTGTGTGGTTCGATCCTGTGTAACTAAATGTTTCTGTGCGAAACTGGGAGCCTGTGTGGTTCGATCTTAATTGTTTAAGAGTCTGTGTGACTCATGTTATCATTAAAGAATAAGCATAATCATTAAATGCCTTGATTGACTTTATTAATGGTAACCGAGGCATTTACATATATATATATATATAGTGTGTGTGTTTAATTAAAGTTCTTAAATTTCTTACATTTTCTTAAATTTCTTAAATTTTCCTCTGTAGCAAATTTTTCAAATCATATTGAAATTACTTTTATAAGTATTTCATTTACGCTCGTTTTACAAAAGTAACTAATTTTTTTAATTTATAAAACCTACATTTTAAATTAATCTGATTTAACAGACTTACAGAACTCGAAAAGGTGATGAATGCAGCGAAAGAAGGAAACAACAACTTTTTACCTGCAGAAATTCTACGGCTTTTACCAGCTTTGATATTTGCAACTAAAGATTTGAAAACTGGTAAGCTTTCGGCATTTAATAAATACCGTTTAACTTTAGTCTAAATTCCCTTTGGCAAATTACTTTGTATTTTTCACATTTGATTGTAGTTCTGAATTCAATCCATTAAACATAAAATACATATTGCGTGCTTAATTAGAATATGAAAATTAAAATAACAGGGCTTCTAGAAGTCCCTCAAAATTTTCATTTTTCTGATGCTTTAAAAGGCTCACCGTGAAATAATGGAACGTTATCTTATAATCTAGAAAACAATAGAATATTGTCTCAGATCTCAGTGCTCTACAAATTTTTGAGACATATAATGGGGGAATGTGTGAAGTGGGAGTAGAATTATGGGAAAAAGAGGTGCCAAGCACCAAATAGTGAAGTTTTGAGTGGGAAACCAGTCGGTTGAACATATGATGAAATCGATAGGAAATTAAACATAGTTGGAATTAAACTACATTAGAATATAATAATATTTACAGAATATAACAGTATTACAAAATTATCAAAAATTCTCTAAAAACTTTAATTTTAATTGTCTGCCTCTCTAAAAAAGAAATTAAAAAAAAAAGGTTTGGCAGCACAGCATTTAAATGGTTACTGAGACAGGTGAACTTACATTTAAGTTGACTACTACTTACGTGAGTCCTCTGACTGCCTTGATATTAATTTAGTATAATGTTTTTGAATTAATAATATTTTATAGTCTACATATCATCGATTTAACTATTTACAAATTTCAGGTTTTTCCCGAAGCATAGCCGAATTAAAAAGTCTTCCATCCATTGTATCGTTACTCGTCGACGATATAGAACCTTTCATATGGAACTCTATATCCCCTAAAATGGTAAATATTTAACTTTTTTTAAAAATTTTAGGCTATCTTTTTAGTTAGATTATTGAATTTTACATAAATTTAGTTAATCATTAACCCTTTTCTAGTGTAGTGTAGCCAGCCTGGCAACGCTAATGCTACAAATGTTACAAACCGCTAGAAATGTAAAACTTAAAATGTTTAGGAACCACTATTCTTCCTGCCAGGGCTAAAATAACAGCTACCACACAGTCCGATGACCATATAAGGTTCCACTACAACTACTTAAATAATCATGATAACTTAACCTATTAACGCCCAGCATTTAGGACAATTCCTTTTTTCAACGACATTCATTTTGGTGGGAAACTTTTTTCAGCATTTTCATTTATCTGGGTGAATTAAAAGATTCTAAGATACCACAATGATTTAGTTATTTCTGATTAGATCTAGAATTATAAGAAGCAAGTACTTTTTGATCTATCAATGACTTTTTGAATGCCCTAACAGTAGAAAAAACAATTAATTTCGATAATATATTATAACACTTTTTCCATAAAACCACCTTTTGTATCATTTCAATATATAAATTCGGGACAAAGCGGGTTAATAATCATGATCCTTATATAATGGGAGCGGGGCCGCAGTAAATTAAAGAAGATGAAGCCAGGGCTTTTTACATTTACAGAGATGCTTACTACTCCGGAATCGTTGAAATATTTTAAAGTATGATAGAGAACTATGAACCAAAATTAACCGATTTTCAGTAAATTTTGTTCCCTTAATAACCTTTATTCAACTTTTTAAAAGGCTCAACACGGTTTAAATGTATTGGTTTTATTGGTTTTATTGAAATTACATACATTTGCTGACTTGTGTGCTCAATATAGGTTTAAATGTAACAAAGTGGCATATCGCATAAGCTTTTGAATTATTTAGAAGCAGTGGTGAGTAAAAAAACGTATAAATCGAATTTACTAAACCAATATTCAACGTTAAAAAACTACCACTCGAAAATCTCCTATCCGTAGCAAGTTAGCATCGCTGCATTTATAGTCGCCAGTGGCATCCTTGTTTAAGATTATTCTTTGCATTCACCAATATTAAACCAAATCGGTACTGCCAAAAAAGCGAGTTCTTCCTAAATCTAGGAACCATGTGACATTTTTTAAAAATACATCAATAAATAACTAAAATAAATTTTCAGTTCAAACTCACCAGAATTATTTAATATCATTAATATCGTAGGAAATTAAGCAGATTTGAGCACAGAAATTGCATAATTTCTCCTTTTATTTGAAAACAAAATTATCTGTTTGAAAATATCGCTTCGAAGAATAAACTGTTGTAAGCAGCTGCAAACTCTCTAAACCAGGGGTAGGCAAACTACGGGCTGCGGGCCAACTGTGGCCCTCCGGAACGTTTTATCCGGCCCGCGGATAGAATTTTAACTTGCTGATCCGTGGCGAATATAAACAATATACATCCATTTTCTTGTCTACTTTGTTTAAAGCCACTTTTGTTCTTTCTTTTTTAACAAAGTACTGATGACATTTTTACTTTCTCTATTTTTGTACTACAAACATAAATTGATGGAAATAGCTAGCACAGACAGCTTCAATTGGCAAAATGTTGAAAGCTCTTTATAGAATAGCAGTGCCATCTGAAGTAGTTGTTTCTAAATATGCCAAAAATTAAGTTTTACAAATCATTACCAAAGGCTGGTTTCCCAAATTCAATATTTCATGCCCATAAAATCAGTGCTATGTTTGCTTCATTTTATTTATGTGAACAAGTGTTTTCATTTATGAACCTTCGAAAATATCATTTCAGAAGTAGACTAACAGACAAACATTTACCTTCGTTCCTTAAAATAAGTACATTACACTTGGAACCTCAATATAGGGAACTTTTAAAAATGAAATCACAATTTCATTTATCTCATTAAATACTTATATTAAAAATTGCATATCTTTTTTTTTTTTTAGAAGTTTTTACTTTGCCCACCAAACTTTTCTTTTCCAATTTTTGGCCCTCGACCAAAAAAGTTTGCCCATCCCTGCTCTAAACGGAAGTCGATCAGGTCAAGTGCTCGTAATTGTTGCTGCTTACATTTATATTGAGAACATCATTTATGAGAAATGTTGTCGCAATTCACGGGCTCTGGACGTTATTTCTTGTATCCACTTTTATCGTTGTATTCATGAGATGTTGTACTCATGAGTTTTAAAATGAATTAATTTTTAACGCGCCGTCTTACGGTTGGCAGAGCAGTCTTTGTAAAATAATTATCTAATGAATTATTTTTTATTTGAACTTGGTCTCCCACAGATTAAAATAATTTTAAATTTATTATACAGTTCAATTTGAAACGCGCATCATCAGGCTGTTAAACTAAGGGCTATTTTATTAAATTAAAGTCCATAAATTATTTTCAACATGTATAAAAAATGGATCAATGCGTTCTGATTCCATCTCTAAGCTACTGTGGTTCAAGGGATAGAGCATTTCTATTCCAATGAGGTGAACCAGGTACGAAACCCAGCGGTGGTTGGGTGATATGAAATCTGCTCCTGGCTCGCAACGCCCACGGTGCTGTCGTAAAATATCGTCAGTGGTAGATGAATCATGTGTTTGAATCTATTTGCCGTCGGGATGGCTAAGTTGTGGTTTTCCTCGTAGTGCCGTTTAGCAAATACGCGATATACTAAGTGTCCCATCTCTCACTCATGTGGCAACGCCAGTGCGGGTTAGTTCCATCCAAAAGTCCTCCACGAAGGCTTAATTGTCCCTATGCTTGATCCAGAAGTTCTCTTGTCTTCTGATTTGGGCTCAAAAGTACAAGGATACTAAGTAGGTAGTCGCTATCTCAGAATTGTGTGGATTGTTTTGCACCAGTTATAAAATAGAAAAAACATCTCTCTACCCTAATGATAGCCTATATTTATAATAGTGTGACATTTAAATAATTTGTTGATGATCTTTATCGTTTATTTAGGTACGAGATTTCTCCGATCAAAAGTACAGTAGAAATTTCTGTATCGATACAAATACACTGGAAGCTACACAACTGCACTGGAAGTGGATGCTCTGTGAAGACTCTTTGTCAGCTTTTCGTCTTCCTCTGCCGACCACCAATGAAGAAACGATTAAAATAGTACGATAATTCAAATGTTTTTTACTGATTCCATTAATCATTTCATGAAGGGTTTTGACTCAGATATTTAATTAAATTTTTAGAACGATTCGAGACTGCCGTTGAAACTGGATTTGAATCTGAACGAGACTCTCGATGCCAAAGTATTCTCCCGAATGACACTTCAGGTTTCTTCTCAGGTTGGTTTCCTGCTGAAGACGGTTCTTCAGTTCTTGAAACCTGTCAAGGGTTGTGAAAATACGTGCACTGCAGACGCGATGTTAAAGAAAATGTGCTTTTTAAGTCGAATGCAAAATGTAAAGAAAATATTGCAGGATCAGGAGACAGGAATTGCAGGTGTAGAGAGTGACGATATTCTACAGGTAAGACTGCGAGTAATTTTTAAAAATCTTTTTAAAAGTTTGAAAATTATTAAAAAATATGTCTGTTAATTACTTTGCACTTCGGGTACTTTAAAATGCCATTTACTAAATATTACTATAGGAGAATTTTAAATTTCAAAGAGACAACTTTTTTCTGCCCCATCAAGAGTGGCATCAAAGAACAAAGAGTTTACACTTTTTATTCTTTATTTCTTAAATATTACAGATGAAGTTAAGCACAATATATTTTTCCGGCGAGAAATGTGAGTTGGGAATTTATCAAAAATCCTTGTAGTTCTTAACTTCAAAGATGCGTTTCTATAAGAAAAATTGTTTTATCGAACTCGTAACTCATTTATTTAGGTAGTTACATTGCTTTAAAGTAATTTATTTTAAGATTTATGAGATGAAATTCAACTATTTTAAAACATTTTAACCAAATAAATATTTCTTGGTTGTTACGAATTACAATATATTAATCACTGAACCCTGGCAGCATGCGACAGCAGTCAACAGAACTTGAAATATATAGTTGCCTGTCTTGGCAAGGTATATCATTCCATTAATTTAATATCACGAGCTAATTTGGAAATTTTTATTAAAGATTAAATAATAAATGCATTCATTTTTAAACACTTGGAAAAAAAACAGTATGTTAGCTGTTTTATGTGCCATGCCTCAGTTGAAAAGCTTGACACGAAGTAGTGACGTGTCGAGACTTTCATTACTTTATTTACTCCGAATGAAACCAAAAAGAATTATCTCGTAGAAATTTTGAGACAATTAACATAATCGGGTTCAACACAAATATTTATATAAAAAAAGTTTAGAATGGATTAAAAAATTTTCAAATGTGTTTTAATTATAGTTCGTTCACCAGGAGTTGGCACTTGGCTCTACCTTCTCGGACGAAGAGTTCATTTCAGAGCTTGGAGTAAGAGAAGAAACGTTTCTACGCTTGAAATTGAGACAACCCTTAATGCGCTCCAAACGCAAACATTTAATTCTTTTTCAGTCACTTGCTTCGCTTTATCATCTGCCATTATACATTTCCTTACTCGAGATAATTAAATATATTGCTGCAAAATGTTTCAAGAAGGACAAACTATTCACTTAAAAAGAGAATAATATATAATGAGAGAGAATAATATGCGAAAGAGAGAATAATATGAAAAATAATATTTTCTCATACGACAGCCAAATAGCGACCTTGTTCAGGATTGTTCACATATAGCGAAATAATATCATCGTATACCACGTGATGAAGGCGGAGCCAAGTGCTAACTCCTGGTGAACGAACTATAGTTCTTTGAATGTTTTCTTAGATTGGCTTCAGCACTTTCAAAGTTCAATTTTATTCCTTAATATTTGTCATTATATCACATTTGTGTCAACAATTACACTGAATTACTTCTTAAATAAAAGTACAAAATTTCGAATAAGTTTAACGTGCTGGATATGAATACCACATTGAATAAAAGCTGATAGGTCCTTATTGCAGGAATATTCCCGTTTTTTTTTCGTTATAAAGGTGCTCCAATATAATGTAATATATTTATTGTATTGTATTATAAATTTTAGTATATTTACTGTGATTATTTATTATTATCATTATTTAATATTATTATTATATAATATAAATTAAACTTATTCTGGGAAATGCCTTTTAGGAAGTTCCCTCGACTTAATGTAGCAAATATTATTGAAAGTTTCTTTGCGGGGTTTGAGTTTAAACATCATTTTAGAGACCAGAATTATATTCAGTTATTCACAGAAACTTCGCAAGCCATCAGTGAATACTTTGTAAAATCTGACAAATTATGATACATGCAGATAAAAGAATTTTACGAAGCACTTCTGTTTGTGTTCATGCAAACAAAAAAAGGCATCATATGTGGTTTTATTTGTACACATTAGTACAAAAAAATGTAGCAAATTTTTGAAAATAGTTTATGCTATATAATTTTAGTAAACGAGTTTACTGAAAAACGTGTATGCTTCCTTCTCAGCAACTGCAACATTTATTTCCTGTTGACGAGAAAATAATTGAATCATATGACACTTTCATGGATGCAACTCGTTTTTCTGCGCAGAAGAATTATACGGATTGGAAAGATATCGTCAAACTGTAAGTATATGCTTACATTTTTATCTAATTACCGCTTTGTTTATGTATTAATTGATCGACATATGCTCATTAAATGGTTGTTGTTAATATGATTTTAATCCGAAAAACAGGGGAAAAAATTTGTGATTTTTTTACACTCTCTGTTACATAACATATTTGGAACTGTTTTTACTATTGTGCTGTATAATAGTGTAAGGGTTATACAAATGAAAAGTGGACATTCATGATAGCGTCAGATAGTAACTTCTCCAAGTTTAATGATTATAAAATAAGAGAAATTTTCCACAAACTGTGTGATTTTACATGAGAGCATCAACAGTGAATGTAAATTCGAGCTGCGATGGATGCGTACAAAACAGAACAGCACGGAATAGTAAAATTTTTGGTAACTGAAGGTGAGTGTAGAGTTTTATCGTCGAGTGTGTATTGTTTACGACAAGTGCTGTTTAGAACAGACAACTATGAACAAATTTATCAAAAGAGGGAAAAAAATTCAAAAAGTTTATAGATACTACATTTAACTATATTTATGTTGCTAATAACTCGTATATGTTTTCAAATATACATAATTTTAATATTAATATTAATGATTTATTTCCGTGTTAGTAAAATGGTATATTTATATTATTTTCTGAATAAAACACATAAAATTGTTCTTTTTTTATTTTTTCAAATTCCTATTTACCAAAGTTTGCTTTAAAAATAACATTAATAAATTGAAACGCATATTAAATAAATTTTCCAAAAGTTATAGTAGTATTAAATTTGACTATTAAAATATTTCATTGTCATGTTACTAGTTTAAATATTATAAGGAGCTAGAAGTCATTCATTGACTATGGTTTTACAGTTGTGACGGGTCTTAAAAATGGCAAAAATGATTAAAACAAAAAGCTGATATTTTCAAAAATTTCCATCCATTATTTTTCATATTTTTTCCAGAAAACAATAGGAATTCTAAGTTGTCAGAGCTCTAAAATTCCTCAGATTATTAATGCAACTTTAATAACATTATTTTACATTAATTTTAGACCAAACTGATGATTGTGACACACAACTCTTAGTAGTAGTCAGATCAAGGATTAAAATTCTAAGCTGCCAGAGCAAAATTTTCTGAGTGTATTAATACAAATTTACTACCATTCTTATAAGTTTATTTTCGATTAAAGTGATCTCAGTGTCATACTACCCTCGTGGTAGTCAGATAAAGGATTAAGATATCCTAGTCAGTTGTACAAAACGGGAAATAAGTTCGTGGTTTTCCTCTCAAATGTGAGACTCGAAGAACATTCGACGAAGACGACTTTGATAGACACTTGACTTTTGAAAGTTTTCTTGTCTTTTGAGTAGTGTTTCTTAATTAAAGGGACACTGATGTGAATGTTATTGATTGCTCCATATCAATTAATTTTACTGCACTTTTTTTGCACATTACTTTTACTTTATCAAATACTTTTCACTGCACTTTGATAAATTCACTGGGGAACAAATGTTTTGTTGCATTTATACAAATACTTGATCTAACCTAATTTGGGTAGGGGATTTAAAAACTGAAATTGGTTTTGTTCGAAAATCTACAGATGTTTTTCGAAATAATATTTTAAGTTTAGTTTTTTTTCTGAATGTACAAGCTTATAACGAACGCATACGTTTATAAACATGCACTCACACTTGTCTGCTTCTTTAAAACTAACACTGAGGACAAAAACATTTAACCTTAACGTATCGCATCATAAACTGAAATTTATTATAGCCTTCTTCCTACCACTCCCTACGTAGCAGAGAAGGGGAGACACTTAGTATTCACTGGAGTGAATTTTAAAAATTCACTTCAGTAAATACTGTTATTAGGAATATATTAAATTGCTATCATTAAAAAACCTACTTCAATGAATATAGTTTTCATAAGAGTGCTTTTATTTCAGTACAAATCATGTATCTCATTTTTTAAGGCTGTTTTTACTGCAAAATAAATTTGATTCTGTTTAACTTATAATTAGCCTATTTTATTTCTACTGAACATATAATTTAGCTGAATTAGTATTACAGTGTGTGTCAAAAATTTCACTTATTGGTTTATTTTATTTTAGTTTAGTATCAAGTTTACAATTCTTAGAATCAGTTGATGGAAAAAGCCAGAAGTTAAGACCAGTTTTCCATGTCTTAACTTCATTGACCAGTTTAATAAAGAACAGAGTGTCGGATGCTGCTCAGTCTGCAATAAGTACGTACTTAAAATTCTAGGAATACTCAATTCTAATTTTCATCTTAACCGCTTGATATATCATTAAACATTTCTTGATATAGAAATGATTTTTGATTGCACTGTTTACACCGACTCGCAACGGAATGTTGACAGAGATGCCAACCGCTCCGGACACTTTCATTGGACATAAAAGAATCGAATCACTTCCTATAACGAAGGTGAATTATATAAGCCTATGAATTATTTAAAAATAGTGGTGGATAAAAACCTACTGAATTAAATTTATTACACCAAGAATCACAATTGATAAACTACCGCTTTAAAATACAGGGTGTTTCCCAGACTCATTTGATGTTTAATAATTTATAAAATATTAAAGATAAGTTAAAATTAATAACATAAATGGTTAGATAGACTCAAAAAGTTTCATGACCCTTGTCAATGAACTTCCACGTGTGCCCCCTTCGTCACACGGAGAATATCAAGTCGATAGTCAATTTCACGCCAGGTAGCGGCAAGTATGTCGGCATCCACAGAGGCTATTGCGGTTGTAATTCTGGTTCTTAGGTCATCAATGTTCGACACGATCCTCCTGTAAACATTGTCCTTTATAAATCCTTGTAAAACTACGAACGATGATACTCCAATGAGGCGGTGCACCATCTTGTTGCAAAAAGATATGTGGCTGAAGCTCTTCTAGTAGTGGAAATACGAAGTTTTCGTTCGTCGTTCTTTGAATGACCATTTTCCAGGAAGATGGATTGGGCTAGGAGGTCCAATTCCTTGGCCACCCAGATCACCTGATATGACGTCGCTAGACTTTTTTCTTTGGGGATTTGTAAAGGACAATGTTTACAGGAGCATCGTGTCGAACATTGATGACCTAAAAGCCAGAAATACAACCGCAATAGCTTCTGTGGATGCATGGGTGAAAGCCCTTATATAGCAAGACGGAAAAGGGAAAAACCTGGTACGTAAAACATTTCATTCCAGCATTTTTTTCGAAAAAAATGAAATATCTGTAACTATCAAGATTTCTTTTATAATTCTGGCATATATATAAAACTGCTTCTTTTCCAAGNCGCGGCCTATGTGAAAGGTCAGTGTCAGCAAGCTGTGGCAGACGCAGCCTAAATGTAATTTCAGTGTCAGCCACCGGTGGTTGACACAGCCTAAATGTAATTTCTCTGTCAGCCACCGGTAGTTGACGCAGCCTAAATGTAATATCAGTGTCAGCCACCGGTGGTTGACTCGGTCTAAATGTAATTTCAGTGTCAGCCACCGGCGGCTGACGTGGCCTAAATGGAAAGTCCAGAGTCAGCCACCGATGACTGATGCGGCGCTCAACGTGTTAAACATTTCCTGATATAGAAATGATCTTTTATTGATTGCACGGTTAACAACGACTCGCTACGGACTGTTGACAGAGATGCCAACTGCTCCGGACACTTCACTAACATTTTAAAGAAACGGTCAGTATTCTTTATTTCAGTTATTTAAACAAAACTGGGTGCCTAGGCCGCGCAGCGGCCCTTACCCCATTCGTCATGAAACTTATATACAGTGAATAAAACATTTTGATTTATGTAACAATGTGGTAACATTATAATAAAGTAACCACAATTTGAAATATGTGCAAACTTAATCGGAGAGATCAATATCTAACAAAAGTGAATTATATAAGCATATGAATTATTCAAAAATAGTGGTGGATATAAACCTACTAAATTAAATTTATTAAACCGAGAATCATAATTGATAAACTACCTCTTTAAAATATTTATTTGCTATCAGGGGCAAGTTCGCATTTATGTCTGAGAATTATTGTTTTGACATAAGAAACAAATGACGTCTCCCAGACGTCTTCGTGTGTCAAGGGATTAAGCTCTTAACCTCTTCGACACGCGCGAGTTACAGTTATTTTCTTTCTTACCACTATAAATATAATTTTGTTTTGTGCATTGCTGCGTTTTAAAGCCTAAAACGTTTGTCAATATTTCAGTGCCCATGGTTAGAATAGAAAATGTTCTCCCTGACTCCCCTTTGACTCAAGAAGTTGTCAAAAGTTTCCTTCCACTCTTGCCAGAAGTTGCTTCCACATTTTTCTGGACATCTTTAGCTCCGGGAAAGGTAAAAAATAAAGTTTTTTAAACGTACCACAACTTCTCTACGAAATTAAAGCAAAAATAAATTGAAGAATACTAAGAAGGAGATGATAAATTTAAACTTTAAAAAACTGGTAAATTAACTAATTCTTACCTTTTAAAAAGTATTTTAAATTAAGCATTTGTATTAATAAAATAAAATTAAAACTATTATAATTTGCTACAACTTCGTGAAATTTGTGTCACAATTTTTTAAATTTCTTTCAGACTGTGACCTACCTGGTATTCAATATTTATTTTTCTCAGTAATAATCACGATGTTATAGCATTTGATAATTATCGCGCACTCAGTACTATCGAACTAAGGATATATCGTTGGAATGAATTTATAAACATCGTCGGCGCGATTTTTTAAAAAAAAACATTGATATTTCTCTATATATTATTTTGACTTTAAAACAATTAGTTTTTATTTAATATATCAGATTTTAATTAGTTCTTTTTATTATGCTGAAAGATTCAAATTAACCTTAGATAACTAAATTGTAATCTGAGTTACTCTGTACTTAATAATTAGACTCTCAATTTACGAACTAAAAACGTGTTCTATTCTGTTCATTTAAGTCAAACGCGTGCGTTCAGCTTAAGGATGTTCTTAAATTATTTTAAAAATGATTTTTTTTAATAATTTTTATTTAATAGAGGAGTAATACCATTTAATCTTTGGAGAAAATAAAACATCAACGTACTATTCAGACCTCGCAAAACTGGTGAAAATTGGTAGTATGTTAGACCAGCAGAACCCTAGGGTTCCGTGAAAGAGTTAAAGGGGTTTCACAAGTTAATACTTTCGATAGCCAGCCAATGATGAGTTTCGAGAACTCTGATTGTATTAAAATGCAACTTATAATTCATAATTCTTTCGAATGCTCTTAAGAAATTATTTCAAGTGAAATGCCAATGAAATATAAATGGCATTTTTTAAAAGAAAACATAATATTTCTACTAACAAAATATTGAACAAGTTTTAAAAAGAACGAGCATTTATAAAATGTTGCGTTGGTATTTTCCTATTGAGCTTTCCAAAACAAAATGAAATAATTAAATTCTTTAATAAATAAATAGTATGTTTGCCAAATGACCATTATTTATGGTCTTTCGTAGGTTATAACGTCACTATTACTTTAATGATCTTTATTTATAAAGTCTGGGTTCCGCCGTATTTATAAATAATTCCTGTTTTATGATCCCAATTTTTTTCGGCTACGGAACTTTAAATAATCAACCTTCTCATCGTTATTCGGGGTTCCGTAGCCGTAAAAAATTGGGAACCGCTATTTTAAATGAAAAAAAATTACCTAATGTTAAACAAGGGTTAATAAATATTTAAAATTTATTAACGGAATTTTTTTGCAACTTCTTTTAGCTTTTGGATTTGGTGGAAAAAAGTAAAAAGAACATATCGATTATCATGTCTGAGTTATGTGATTCATCTCTTACTAAGTATTTGTATAATCCTGCCTTGAATGAAGATGAATTTGCAAAGCTTAGCGAAGCTTTGTGCCATCATGAATATTACGATTTATTTGAAGAAATATTTCAAGATCCCGATATTCAAGAGATTGTCTTTGAAGTAAGATTTTTAATAATTTTTAATTAAAAATTAGAGTTTAATTAAAAAGTTAATTGTCAGCTTTTCAAAGCTGTTAAAATTCTTATTTTTGTGTTCTTATTTTTAAATGATTGCAATTTAGTTAAATATCTTGACATTCAATTTTAAATAGTTGAGGTCATTTCTAAAATACGCCTTTAATATTTCTCATTATACTCATACTGAATTATTTAGAGATCAATTTAAAGTTTAAGCTTTCAGTTACAGTTTTCAAATGTTAGGTAAGTAAAGATGTGAAAGTGTTTGCAGGTTACTAATTTTTGCTCATGTTTCCAGAACAGCAAGAAATCTAGTTTACTATAGAATATCTAGGCACTATGTAGAATGAAAAGATTAAACAATTCACAAGTTCCCTAGCTATTCTATGGAATGACAAATAATAAACCGTCAAATTAAGAAAGATATAAAGTATTATTTAAAATGCTCACATTCCATAGAATTCTTCTATTGTATACGTTGCAGGTAACATTTTTAATCTACACAAGTACTATTATTCGTTTTTTTTCCAACTAGCCAATTTGAGGTGTGGTAACTTAAGGAATAGAGCGTTCGCCTTCCAATGAGGTGAACCGGGTTGGAATCCCGGCTATGGCTGGTCTTACGAATCCCACACCCGGCTTGCACCGACCACAGTGTCGACGTAAAATTATCCTCAGTGGTAGACGGATCATGGGTTAGAGTTCCCTTGCCGTCAGGCTAACCGTGGGAGGTGTTCATTTCCATGTAACGCAAATGTGGTTTAGTTTCATCGAAGGGTCCTCCACGAAGGCTAAATTTCTCCCAATACTCGATACAGGAGTTCCCTTGTTTTCTGTATTAGGTTTAAAATTACAAGACTGCGGAGTTGGAAATTAGCTGTCGCAAACCCGAAAAATCGGGTTGACTTTTCAACGCCAGTTATACAGTAAAATATAAAACTAGCAATTTTTTAGAATGAGCATTTACTTTATTATTTATTAGCTCTTTCCTAATGCATTTTTAAATTAATACTTAGAATTTAAATAAAGGAAAATTTATTTTCAGCTGCTTTTGGGAGAACTCGTAAGTAGAGATTATTTGTATCGTTTCTTGAAATACAGTTAAATATCTTTTACTTACCCTGATGGAGAAAAACTTATAAAATTACTTATTAAAAATAATAAAAGTTATTAACAAGTAATAAAAATCTTATCTAAAAATCGTAGCAAGTGTATGTCTTTCGGTTCGCAATTAAAGAATAGTAAATATTGTTTTTTGCAGACGATTTTCTAATACAGCGAAACTAAAGTAAAAATTCTTTATCTCACCCTTGATTTATTAAGAGCATGTCAGCGTGAGATGCGCCATTTTTAGAGGTCCAATCAAATCCAATGCTCTTGCAACGTCATATAGTTGTTGGTTTTTCAAGAACAAATGTTCTCTTATTTATTGAAAAATCTCACCAAGTCTAGGATTCCAGAAAGGCTACGAAACTATAAGCTTATTTTTAACAATTCTATGATTTATATCGTAAAAAGTAGCACAAATTAAATTTATAACTGGCGTATTAAACTTTTAAAAGCTTTTACATTGTTTTGAAAGCATATTTGTACAAGTTGACGACGAAATAAAGCGAAACTATGTGCAGTCGCTGATGATTACTTAAATTCTATACCGCAATGGACTTTTATTAGCTTTCAATGGAGTATGGATATATTTTCTCTTGACCATAAAAATCATAGTAACCTCGAAAATAAAAAGATAAATTTACTCGTCGTAATTTTGTCGCTAATTATTTTGTCTTTACTTCTCGTCATCTTATCACTACTTCTCGTAATTTTATCGCTACATCTCGTTGTCTTCTCACTACTCTTCATAATTTTGTCACTACATATTCCGTTACTACTCCGCAAATTTGTCATTATTAATTTTGTCTCTACCGCTCGAAATTTTGTCACTATTCCTCGTAATTTTGTCACTACTGCTCGTAATTTTGTTTACTATTTATTTTCACACTACTCCTCGTAAATCTGTCACTACTGATTTAGAACTTAGAGTACTATACAGCCTCTCATTGCAGCTAGCAATAACAAAGCTAGAATTGCAGATTTTCCGGAAAAGTGAAGAAAAAAAAAACATTACTATTTCACACTTATTTCGGATAGAGTAGTAATATCCGCGACTACCTTAACTTAATAACATTTATATAACATACGCATGGAACTGTTTTACCCAAAAAAGATGCGGGTAAATTAGGAATAAAAATGAAATTTAAACTAAATTGGCAAAAGCTTTGTAGTTTTTAGTTTTCTTTTTTTAAAAAAAAAAAAACAACAATTAGATATTTCAAATTGTTTGATTTTTAATAATTGATTATTTGAATTGAAATAATTCTGCAATTGCTGATTTTCTTTTAGAGCTCCATACACAGAGTAAGTACATCACTTTATACAATTACATTAAAATATGAATCGATTGAATATGAATCTTCCTTTAAATATATATTGTCTATAATAAATTGAAGTCCATTGAATATAAATCTTAATTTTTTTGATTTATAGTTTGCATAATTTAAAGGTAGTACTTATGATATCTATTAATTATTCTTGTATTTTGTAGAATCCAAATCACTTTTTCACTAATGAAATTTTTTACCCCGTAAAAACTTTTGAACTGCTTAGCATGCTCAGTGCAATGTTGTGTATGCTCAGAACTGTTAAGCGAAATTTACGTTTAGGAGTAATTAAATTATTGCATTTCCTTTTCAGGCAAGCAGTACTGACGAAATTTCTTGGGAAGACATGAATAACAACATTCTTGAAACTGTGACATTACTTATGGACTTATCCACTGCTAAAAGAGCCGATTTGTCTCTCTTACCCCCGTTAGAAAAATGGCAAAAGATGGCCATGGATGTTCAAACCTATGCACAAGACCCATCAGTCATACTCTATATTCTCTCCAATAAGCTCTTCTACGGATTCTGCACCATGTCAACACAGAGTGTCCCAAGCAATCTGCAGAGCTTTTTCCCTCCAGAAAAGGAAGCAATTCTGTACCGCGAACTGTGTTCCATGAGTGAACCCTCTTTTTCTTACAAGCTAGTTGATGAAACAGAAAAGCGAGTTCTGCCGAGAGTAAGAGGAAAAGAAATCGATTACGGATCAGCGGTGCAAGAAATCGGAAGTGCCTTGTTGAGAATGTCCCCAATCCGGTCCATCCTGGACGCGATATTTGATTTGGACTTATCGGCAGATTCAATGGAAAATGGGGATATTTCTTCAGATTCTAATTACGGTGAACACTCAAATGAATATGTAACCAAATCCAGAAGAAGGTATGATTGCATCACATAACGCAAATGTATATTACCTTTATTTATTTATTATTTTTATCCATACATATGTGAACTTTGGTGTTCATTATAAATACGGCTTATAAGTTTATGTCAATTTGAAGAAAAGATAAGGCAAGTTGGAGAAGGACTTCACAAAGTTACATTCAGGGTTACTGTTTGATTCAAACCATCACCTCTTACATCTGAAAGCCACAACACGGTATTTTAAAAGTAGTCTGAGCAGATTATTTAAAAAGTAAACCAGTTGTGCGCATAAACCCAAATTCTATTTTAAAAGTTATTGAGAGAAATTTGTCATATATATTTCAGAATTGAATCTGTAGTGGTTGACAAGTAAATTAGACAAACCAATAATATTCATAAATTAAACAAATTTTTAGACATATATTTGCTACCAATTTCTCATTTTTACTAGATTTTTTCTTAAATGACTCCTTCGTAACTTAGTTTATCTTCACAGTGGTCTGATCGGAGTACCTTTAAGAAACCGTGTGGAGGCTCTCATTAATAAGAGGCGTTGTTCAAACCCACTACAGAACTTTAGTGGAGTAGTGAAAGGCTCAACCTAGCATCCTTTTATTATGATGGTTTTTTATTTATTTATTTTTAAATGGCAACGTAAGTATTTAATTGTTAAATTTCTTTCACAAAAACAACACAAGATAGTCCAGTTAAAAAATATTTTTTAACTCTTCACTGACCGACGCCTATTTATTCGGCTTCCTGCCAGTGCCGGCCGATTACACTTTAATGAGCTATTGGTCGATTAACTATGATAATTATAATTTAACGTTAATGTTATGAAAACAAAATATTTCATTAACATTAAATCTATCAAATAACACGAGAAAGCGGTCATGCGAAAAGCACAAATATTCTCTTCCAACTGCCTAAACCAAAACAGAACCGGAATCAGAAAGGATTTACGGACGTGCTTAACCTATTAAACCTCTAGCCATCGGTAAAGAGTTAATAAGTCTGCAAACATAAATATTTATATTCAGTGCATCTTCAAAGCTAAATTATAGATGCCAATAGCAGAGACTTGATTCTACGTATGAACATAAATTTTGTAGTTATTGTTGTTGTCTCTTATCCTCTAATTGTCTGACGAAGACAGACAAGATCCAGTAGGTTGTTAACCCTCAAAACGTCGATTACAAGAAGTGGAAAAGCATATATGTCCTCCTTGGAAAGGCACAAGCAGTCGAGGATATGTTCAGCTGAGGCCTGCTGGGCTACACATTTAGAGCAGACTGCATAAGTCTTTCTTCCTTTAAGGTACGAGAGACTATTCGTGTGTCCTCTTGCCAGTCTGGAAATGGCTGTTTGAGATGCTCTATCACCTATATGAACAAGTTAAGAGCCCGGTTCCTTGGCCGCATACCAATGATGAGAGGGGGGGGGGTCCTCCACTTTTTTGATAGATGGCTTTTGATTTTGGACTGATACTCTGAAAAGGTAAGGGCTGAGGACGAAGATGTTAAATGACTACAGCCCTCCTTGGTCAAGCAATCCGCTTGTTCATTTCCAAAGATGTCAACGTGGGATGGTATCCACTGAAGATGAACGTCGTGGTGCTTTGAAATAAGTTTAAGTTTAAGAAGGATGGAGATGCTTGTTTTGTCTCCAACTTTAGTCCAGTTATGTAGGTGTTGAAGGGAGCTGCGACTGTCCGACAGGATCCAAAGATCTCCAAAGTCACTCTCGTTGATTATAGCATCGATGCCCTGTTCAATTGCGATTAATTCACTTCGAAAGACTGAAGCGAAATCAGGATTATGGAGACAGATGGAGTAATTTTGCCCATATTTTTCAAAGAAGACGCCGCTACCAGCTAGGTTTCCGAGTCCACTACCGTCTGTGTAAATTTTTACGGCTTCAAAATTTTGTAGTAAACATGTACAACAACGAGGCATGTACTATATAAGCAGTTTTTAAATCATTGCTATATTTGTTGTCTGATATTGATGCGATAGTCGCTTCCAAAGCTTATAACAGTATTACAGGACAGTTACGTCATCCAAATATGAATCTAGATACAACGCAGTTTATTTTCATGACAAGCAAAAGTAAGATAAATAGCTTTAATTTATTAACACACCATTTAAAGCTTAAACTTTTTAAAACAGAAGTTATAGATTGCAGAAAAAATATCCAGTTAGTTTAAGCTCAAATATAACTATGAAAGTTACACTCCTATAAATACTACAAAATAATTCGGAATAAAATGTGAATAAAAATGTTGTCTGTGTATACAAAACGAACTGGAAAATTTCGTGTTTTTATAATGTAATAAATACAAACGTATTCCACTTCACTCTGAATCGGAACATAAGGCTTCTATCATAGCTTTTCATTTCACTCTATTGGTGGCCAGATATTTTGCCTCTATCTATGCTTTTCCTATTGTTTTTAAATCGCTCACAATCGCCCTGCACCAAGTATTTTTAAGTCTTCCTCTTTTTCTATTGCCCTGAGGGTTCCAATAAAAATGTTGTTTTACTTTACATTTTTCAACTTTATGCGGAAAAAACCCATCCATTTCTATTTAAGCTTTTTAGTTTCCAGATCAATCGGTTTCTGTTTTGCTTTTCTGAAAATTTCTGCATTACAAGTTTTATAAAACCACTTGAGACGAAAGATTCTTCTTAAACAGTTGTTAATAAGTACCTGAATTATTTTTTCATGTTATTTTTTTATCGCAATACCATGTCTCTGATACATGTAGTAGGACAGATTTAACATTATTATGGAAAATTATATTTTCTATTTACTTTTTTATATTTTCGTTTTTCCAGAATTTATTGAAAATAGCGTAACTGTTTCGGGCTTTATTTTAATCAGTTTAGTATTTCTTCATAAGTTCCCCCTTTCTTGTTATTTTAATGTATTATTTCATACCATTTATCAGTAAAATTTTCCCGTGTTTTGCAATTTTAAAAAATGTACATTTCGAAGATAGTTTTTTTTTTAATATTTTATATATGCAATAAAATAATTGCGAAAACTTTCCTTTTTTTAAATTCCGATCTGACAAAAAAACATTTGGTAGTTATAGTTGTAGTTCATTTACGTTGCACTAGAGCTGCACAATGGGCTATTGGCGACGGTCTTGGAAACATACTGGATGATCATCCGAAGACATGCCATCACAATTTTCATCCTCTGCAGAGGGGATGGCACCTCCGCTTCGGTAGCCCAATGACCTGCATGTAAAGTCGAGGAGCACCTTACGGTAGAACAGTTTAACGAGGACTAACACCTTACACCCTCGATCCCTACGCAGACTGATCCAAGGGGTCACCCACCCGCGCACTGACAGCAGCCAGTGATGCTTGACTTCGGTGATCTGCCGGGAACCGTGTCTTAACTATCAGTCTACTGCGGGACGACCAATATTGATTATTCATGCAAATTTTTATTATTATTTTGCAGGATCATGACAGCAATAAAAAAGGCGTTCAGCATGGTGAACAGTTTGACGAATGAAGATCTTTCAGGTGTCATTCTGGGTAGTTCTGCGCCTGAATTATTACAAGAATTTTCATCGTTTATCCTTGAAACAGGTAATAAATGATAACTAAATGTTTGAAAAAAGTAATTCTCTGCTGTGGAATAATTTCTTTTCATTTTTGTTAAAATTTCTAACAAAAAGTACAAAAGGTTAAAGAAAAAGTGAACAACTATCAACATTTTACTAGATAAATTAAATTTTTTGGATTCTTTAAACAAAAATTAGCTATAACATGCGCTAAATCCGATATGACTGCCAATACGTGCTGAATCGTTAATGCTCAGGTCAGGTATTACAGAATTGAGAATTACTATTTAAGTTTGAGGGTTCGTATCCCGGAAACTATCAGTTTTCGGGCTTTGTGTCAATTACAACATTTGATAAGAAGGTATTGAACTACAACATATGAAATCTGAAATGAATTTGACAGAAAATTAATATCTATAGAATTTGTGCGGGATCCTTAATAAAAGGAAGAATCACCAATGAAATACTAATTTTGCTACCACTAGAAAAAGATTCTCTCAGTGTAGGAGAAAAAATGGCATTTCCGTTACAGCTTTAAGTCCGATCTTCTTTCAAGATTTTACGGGTTAGATATTTACCCGATAATACGAAACATAAAATAAGATTCTAAATTCAATAATATATTTTAAAACGCATGAATTACGTAAGGAAAACTTTTTGCAGTAGATCCAATTGCAGGAAATTTTTGAAACGAACTTAGATAATTTCACATATCTGATTTCAAATCTGCAATGATCTTCTCTCGACTAGCTACAGTTTTATGTAATTTAATTAATATATATATATATATATATATATATTCCTAACCAGGATTTTTTTCAAATTCCCCCAAGATAATACTGAGCCCCACCCCCCTCTTCCTGCTTACTACTAAGAAAGGATTTGTACGAGGAAGGCGATAATATGTTCGTTATGGGATATGTTCTTAAGAATTACGTTTTGCCTTAAGCGTAACTTTCAAAAGAGAAGGCAAATGCATATCAAAACACGTTCTTTATAAACTTACACTGCAAAGAAAAAACGACCACCCTAAGTAACTTTTGATCTAAAGAACGTTAAATAATAAGTCCTTAATAACTTCTAGAACGTCTTAATGGTTTCAGGGGGTACTTTCAAATATGCAAACTAATTATTGCAGACTATATTTCAGTTTACTAAATCAGCCAGAAAAACTTACTTTTTCTGAATTCTTACATACCTTTATTTGCGGTGAATTCAGATTTCTATCCCCAAAAATATATAGGGCAGCTGCAATCTGGAAAATATGGTCCCAATAGTTTAATCAGGAGAGCGGAATAAAGTTTGGTACCCTTAATGTTAATTTGTCTTTTCCCGTATTTAGCCATATCTCAAGAACTTTTTAAGCGAATTGAATAATTTTACAGACAATTATAAAATTCGTTTTTCTAAAGTTAATTCCATGCAAAAAATATTTTAGTAACTATTATTTTTCATTATTTTGTTTAATAATAGTTGAAAAAAAACTTGAATTATAAGGTATACAATTTCCATACCCTCCAACTTATGAAGATTTTGAAAATAATTCTTTCTAGTGGTAGCGAACCAAAGTAGAAATTTTTAAAGCAAATGGATCTCTCATCATGATTATAAAAACTCATAAGAATCTAGCCA